CCACTTAGCAGAATGTATTTAAGGTTCATCCATATGCTTGCAGGTAATGATACTTCATTACTTTTTATGATTGAATAATATTCCATTATATATATATATTCTACATTTGTTTATTCATCAATTGATGAAAATTGGATTCCTTCCACTTCTTGGCTATTTTAAACAATGCTAGTATATTGCCCAGACTTGCCTTGAGCTCCAGACTCAAGTGATCCTTCTGCCTCAGCCTCACAAGTAGCTGGGATTATAGGGGTGTATCTCCACACCCAACTTCTCCTGTTTTCTATATCATTTTACTTTTTTTTTTTCTTGGGGTTTTTTTCAATATTTTCCTAAAATCCTTTTATTGAGTTTTATTTTAATGGCATATTTAAATTGAGATATGCTTCATATAATATAAAATTCACCAGTGGTATTCAGTATATTTATTTTCAAACTTTAATTTTTGTTAATACATTATTTATCTGTTTTAAAGCACTTTTCATACTCTTTTAATAGCATATCATTAGAAAATCATTTTTCTACTATATCTAGATGAATAAGCAATTCTAGGCAAAAATTCTATCATTGACTCTTTTTAAAAATTTGTTTTTTTTAGATATACATGACAGTAGAGTGTATTTGACATATTGCACATACGTGGAGTATAACTTATTCTAATTAGGATTTTTCAGTATATTTATTTATTTATTTTGGAGGCCCTCCTGGGATTTCAGCATATTTATAATCAACATTCATATACAGTGTTTTTATGTCAGCATTATGTTTTCAGTTCTTTTTGGGTATACCTTGAAATGGAATTGCTGGGTCATATGGTAATTCCTTGTTTAACTGTGTGAAGACTGCCAAACTCTAGTTTTGTTTTTTATTTTTTGTACTGGGGATTGAATTCAGGGTGCTTTACCACTGACTATATCCCCAGCACTTTTTATTTTTGATTTTGAGTCGAGGTCTTACTAAGTTGTTTAGGGGGAACTTGAACTCATCCTCCTGAGTTGCTGGGATTACATGCATGTGTCACTATACCTGGACAAACTCTAGTTTTAAAATTCTGTTGGCAGGTTTTTCTATTTCTTTGAACTCTTTAAAAATATTTTCTGCAGTTATATGAAAAAACTGAATATAATATCTCTCCTCTGATAATATTAACAATACTTTTTTTGGGGGGGGGGAGTACTAGGGATTGAACTCAGGAGGACTTGACCACTGAGCCACATCCCCAGCCCTAGTTTGTATTTTATTTAGAGAGAGGATCTCACTGAGTTGATTAGTGCCTCACTTTTGCTGAGGCTGGCTTTGAGCTCATGATCCTCCTGCCTCAGCTTCCTGAGCTCCTGAAGTATGTGCCACCATGCCCAGCCTAGCAATACTTTTTGTTAAAATTTTTTTCTTCTTTGTATAGTCTGTCTCACAGAGTTAACTTACCAAAACAATTCTGTTGCTGTTTTTGTCAGTTTTTTCCCCCTGCGGTGATGAAAAGACCTGACAAGAACAATTTTAGAGGAGGAAAAGATTATTTGGGGGTTCATGGCCTCAGAGTTCTCAGTCCATAGATGGCTGTTTCCATTTTTCTGGGCTTGAGGCAAGACACAACATCATGGCTCTGTTAATTTCTGTCACTGATTAGGTTAAGACTTTCATAACCCAGTCATTTCATCACCAAATCTTCTGGCATTGTCTCACACATGAGTTTTGAGGGGACACCTAATATCTAGACCATAATACTTGCCTTTTGGCCAGAAATAGCATCTTCCATAATTTGCCAAAATATGAACACAGGGCTGAGGATATGGCTCAATGATGGAACACTTGCCTAGCATGCCAGGGGGCTCTGGGTTCAATCCCCAGTAACCCCTCTTGCCCCATGCACAATGAAGAACACAAAGGGAAAGAAGAGAGACACTATGTTCTCCAGGCCTTTTAGAAAACATGGAGTTGTTCCTTTGGCCACATGCATGTGAATCTACAAGGAAAATGACATTGTAGACATCAAAAGAGTGTGTGCTGTTCAAAAAGGGATTCCCATTCTGTTCAAAGAGGGATTCCCCATGAGAGTTACTAGGGCAAAACTAGAGGAGCAAGACTGGGGTGTGGCTCAGTGGTAAAGAGCTCACCCAGCATGCATGAGGCACTGGGTTCGATCCTCAGCACTACATAAAAATAAAGATATTATGTCCAGCTAAAACTAAAAAATAAGTATTTAAGAACAACAACAAAACAAAAAACAAAACAACCCCCTCCCCAAACTGGAAACCCCTGCAATGTTACCCAACATCTGTTGGCACCATTGTAACAAAGTAAGGACAAGATTCTTGTCAATATTGTGTGCATTTTGAGCATGATAAGAGCTGAGATGGCTTCCTGGGATGTGTGAAGGAAAGTGATCAGAAAAAGGAAGTGCCAGCCTGCTGGATGCCGAGAGAAGTGCACTATATGAGCTCAGCAGCCTGAACTGCTGGACCCTATTCCCTGTGAATTTAGGGCATAATAGGTGCTAACAACAACAACAACAACAACATAACTGAGGGCTGTAAGAAAACAAAACAACCAACAAAAAAACCAAGAATCACACACCTTCCCTACCCCTGGGTTTTCTGTTGGGTTAGGCTTTCTGTCGGATTAGGTTTAGAGGATTAGGCTTTCCCCTAATCCTCTCCCTATCAAGAGTGATTTTATGCCAGGTGTGCTGGTGCACACCTGTAATCCCAACACCTCAGGAGGCTGAGACAGGAGGATCATGAGTTTAAAGCCAGCCTCAGCAACAGTGAGGCACTAAGCAACTCAGTGAGATCCTGTCTCTAAATAAAATACAAGAAAAGGGCTGGGGATGTGGCTCAGTGGTTAAGTGGCCTGGATTTCAATCCCCGGTACCAAACAAACAAACAAACAAAAAATAGTGAGGAACAGAAAGCCAGTCAGATCATGGTCTTGACCCTGTGAGTGGTCTCTATGGCTCTGAGTTTCAAAGTGAATTGCTGGAATATTTGTTGAGAACTCCTAATGTCAATTATTATCTTTAGAACAGAATTTCAGAGATGGACTTTCCAGTCTCTTATCTGGAAAGTGAGGATCTTTCTACCAGTGCTCTGGGCATATCTGAGAAAAGGTTGGGAGTCTCTTATGATTCAGTATGTACTTGGGTCACTCTATCCTCTTCTTTGTGCATGGTATTTCTGTCTCCATCAGGGCCTGATATCACTGGTGTAGAGATTATTCTATTCCCTCTGGACTATAGCCCTCCAGATTTCTGCTAGGGTGAAAGAGTGACATGGAGTGGGAAAAGGAATCTAGGAATCTTACTGCTTCCCAGATAGCTTTTACTGTTTTATCCCCACCCCTCTTTTATGTCTAGTTCTGGTGGTATCTGGTACTTTCGAATTCTGCAAGTACCAGGTACCACCATATATTTTGTGAATTTTGTGGTGCAGTTGTGTCAATTTCCAACCTTCCCTACTGTGGTTTTGGAAACTGCCTCTCTTTGTTCTGCTAGATAAATCTGTTTCCCAGCTTCACAATGTGTTGATGTTGTCTCATTTCCTGTTGCCCTAACCACATTGATTTTTTTAAAAAAAATAAAATAATTTGCTGTTGTTTTAATGGGGCTTAGTTTTCCATATTAATCTAGAAGTTTCTAAGTAAAAAAAATATAATTTTTTGACTCTCACTTAAATCAATCACAGTCTAATAAGGACTCAGAAACCACCATACTTATTGTAATATAGAGAACTGTTAATCAGGTAAAAAGAATTTTTAACATAGTGACTGAAAATGCTAAGAGAGAAAACTTAGCTATTATTGACATAGAAACACCGGAAGCAACAACTGCTCTGAGTCGGAAGAGACAAAGGAAAGTTGGAATTATTAAAACTTGGTCTGCTGGAGATGAAACTCAGACCTCTGAGTACAAGCACTGATGGGCCCTGTGTGGCTGGCTGCCTTGGATGGAGTCTAATGGGGCTGGCTTTGAGTGTTAGAAAACTGGAAGGACAGCAGAATAAAAAAGACATTATTATTGCTGTGCGTATATACGTGACTGCACGACCAATGTAATTCTGTAACCTGTACACTCAGAAAAATGAGAAATTATATCCCATCTGATTCAAATGTATGATATGTCAAGATCATTGTACTGTCATGTGTAACTAATTAAAACAAATTAAAAAGAAAGAAAAAAAAAAGAAAGCTGGATTCAAACTTGAATGTTTGGGGCTGGATCAATCCTGTGGGGTGAGGAAAAAGCAATGTTGGGTGACACCCATAGGCATAAGGAGCTAACAGGAAGGAAACAGAAAGGAACATGTGCCTCCTGCCCCCTCCTTACTCCCTGAAGTCTTTTCTAAGGGGATCTATTGCCAGAGCCTAGAAAGGATTCAGCTAGCAAAGGAGAAATGTGTTTTTCAGAGCCCAGCATCACAAAGCTGACTAGAAGGTGTCCTCAAAGCTGAGAGATAATAGTTTACTACCTGGAAGGGTCCACCCTTTTGGCTATTCAGGATCCATAGGCACCCTACAAATGTATTTGAATTTCCACAAAAATCATAACATTAGCTCTGATTCTATGAACAGAGTTATTCTCACTTTCTCTTCAAAATGAGAATACCCAAATCCCAAGCCCAATTGTGGGCAGGCAATGTCACTATTTCTGGGCTGTGTTAATTACCTGTCAAATTCCATCATAGCCCCATTTCCATATTCTGTTTCTTAAACGTTATCTTTGGACCACTTTTTTTCCATCTTAGTTTTCCTCATCTGGTTCAGAATTTGGGTTGGATGGAAAAGGGTGTTATATATCAACTCTCCTGTGCCCCCCAAATATGCTTATGGTTAGATTTATTAACTATTGTGCCCATTTATATTCCTAAGAGGAATATGAATAGGTTCCACTTGTTTCACATCATCTACTTAGTTATTGGCAGACTTTTTAATTTTGCCAGTATATGAATGAGAAATCATATCTCACTGTTGTGAATTTATCTTTTCTTTATCAATGAGACTGAACATCATTTTTCCATATGTTTATTGGTCTCAGGTTTTCTCTTCTGCTCGTGTTTTTGTCCAATTTTCCATTTTTTCTTATTGATCTTCAAGAATTCTTATTTTTTTCTGAAACATACAAATAAGAATAGAAAATAATATGAAAAATGTCATGTTCCCATTACCTGATTTCCTTAAATCCCAACATTGTTTTATTTGCCTCATTCTTTTTTTTTTTGTAGTACTGGACATCAACCCAGGGCTGTATCATGCTAGGCAATTGACCAAAACTTAACTACATCTTTTTTAAAGAAACAAAACATATACATATATACATGTATATGTATTTATATACACAACACACACATTTTTTTCCTTCTTCCAACATTTTAGTCTTCTCTAGTGTTCCATAATAATCACTATTGTGAATTTAGTATTTACCATTTCTATGAAAAGTTTTTATACTGAGGGGCCTGGGGTTGTGGCTCAGTGGTAGAGTGCTTGCCTAGCATGCACAAGACATTGGGTTTGATCCTCAGCACCACATAAATGTAAAATAAAGATGTTGTATCCACCTAAAAAGAAAAATATTTTTAAAAAAGTTTTTATACTGAGTGGGAGTTTATATTCTGGATATTAATCGTTTGTTAATTTTATGCATTTTGAATCACAATATCTCCTCTGATACTGTGCTGTGTTTTTTACTTTGCTTCTGGTGTTTTTAATATATGAAAAATTTTAAATTTTAATGTAATCAGATGTTTCTTTTGTGGTTTGTACTTTTTGTGGTGTATTTTAGAAACCCTCTTTTCTATCTTTTCTGTGTACCTTTTTTGAACGTGTGTCTTCTCTCCTAGGGAAAGTCTGAGGTCTTCCAGCAGGCCCACATTCGGGCAGTATTTGCTGTGATTCTCTGCATATCCATTCTATATGCTGCTCCTTCTAGCTGATGTCTTGTATCTTTTCTTCCTTTTCCTTTTTCTTCATATCTGATTTCCCTTTTTATTCTTTTGCTCAGGATTTGCAGATTTAGAAGAAAATGAATTATCACATTTTCCTTCAGGTTAAACTATTAAAAATAAAAAGGATTAATTGGCTCATACAAGTGAAAGTCCAAGGACATCAGCTTTGATTCAGTGGATCACTAATGTAATCACTACAGAAACAGATGCGGTGTATTTCTTTTTGCCCTACTTCTGGCTAAGTCAGCCCTCTCCAGGGCTGTCCCTTGGAGATAAATAAAAATTTTATCGCTAATTCAGATTTTTTAATCTTGGTACTAGAGGCATTTGGGATGGGTAGTTCCTTGTGGTGGTGGTAGTGGTATGTCCTGAGCACTGTAGGATGTTAAGTAGCATTCTGAGTCTATCCGTAGTAGATACAGAACTACCCCTCCCCACCCTGAGCTGCGACAACCAAAAATATCCCCAGAAATTGCCAAATGTCTCCTGAGGTGTGAAACTCCCCTGGAGTTTCTATCTTAGTTCATTTTCTGTTGCTATAACAGAATACACGAGACTAGGTAATTTTCAAAGAAAAGAGGTTTATTTAGTTTTGGACATCTTCTTAACTTCTAGTAAGGGCTTTCTGTCATGCATGACAGAAAAGCAGAGAAGCAAATGGGCAACATGTGTGGAAGAGACAAAATACAAGGGTAAGCTTGCTTTATAACAACCCTCTTTTGAGGTAACTAATCCAGAGCTGCAACATCAATCTGTTCATGAGGGCTCCATTGCATGACCCAAGAACCTCCCACTGGGCCCCACCTCTCAATACTGCCACACTGAGGAATTAAGCTTCAACTTGAGCTTTGGTGGGGACAAATGATATTCAAACTATAGCCGTTATTATCCTAATTAGATGGACCTAAATTACACATCTAGTTCTGAAATCACGAGAGCCTGCTGCAGGATGGAAAGTGCTGATTGGCTTAAACCAATCTGGATTGATGTCCAGATTTGTCTAACTTTTGTTCTATGTCCCTGAAGGGTAAAAACGAAAGAGAAAAGCTAGGTACTGTAGAAAGGAGGATGGTAGAATTTATGCTGGATCGCTTGGTCACCCTGGAGAAGTCTAATCTGAGGCTCAAAGTGGCAGCTAATGGAACATTGTCACCCTTCTCTCATATTAATACCCAATAATCAACTGTAAGCCTTAACTATAAGCTCTTAACATTCTCAAGCTGGGAGCTGGCATGAGTCTGCCCGTTGTTTCAATCTGAGGCAAATCAAGCCCTTGTAAGTAGCACTGAGTAGATGAGGCTACCCAAAAGAAAGGTGCAACTTAAGGTACAGGAGCCCCTACCGTTGAGAGCAGTTTCTAGAAAGGAAGCCATCTTCAGGCTCAAAAGAGGAGAGTGACGAAGGCAGAGCTGGGTAACACAACATAGCATTCTCTATATTGCACAAACAATCTGGAAGTCAGTGATTCTAAACTCATTACCTGGGAGTCACCACAGTGACCTTGCTTTTCTACCAGTGGTTTGTTAGTCTTTAGGCAAGCATATTTTCTATTGTCTCAAACAGTTCAAAAACAAGCTTTTCAGATAGTTTCCAAAACTAGGTTTAATGTCTGATTTATCAAACAAGGCTCTACTTCTTAGTAATCTAATTTCAACATAACAAGATGCTTTAGTTCTTGGTTGGAAGGCTTCTGAGACAGGAGTATGTCTTTAGGGGGAGAATGATGACAGATTATCATACTTCACCATTACATCTTGACTCCCTTGGGATAGTGTATTTGTGCCCTTCCTGAGGTGATGTGCTGTTCTTGGAGTATTGATAATCTTTCTTAAGGTGTATGGTAATGAGTGGTGGCTCTGGAGATTTTAGTTAGAATAACGTTATTGCCCAGCAGTCTTTAATTTTTTGGCTCTACATAACAGAGGCTGTTTGCTTCCAAGCATATTTCATTAACAAACACAATTTCACATTCTGAAATATTGTATTCTGAATGTACAGTCTTCTTCTAAGAGCCTCACAGACATCAGTAATTGCCAATCCCAGCAGCTATAGTACAAAGCACTTCAGCACTTGGAAATGAGTTTATCAACATCATGAAATGACACAAAATGGGTAACCATTATATGTTCATCACAAATATATAGGAGGGAAAAATTAGGAATAAAAATGAAATGATAAAAATCAGTCTATATTTATAATCTACTCTATAGAAATAGTCTCAAGCCAAAAGAAGGGTATATAGGCAATTAGTACCTGGTTTCTATACATTCTTGAACTCACAAAACAAAAAACAAAAGACAAGGACATGGGAAAATTTCATGGGAGAAAAAACAAAATTTACATGAAATATGGAATCTGCTAAAATGTTTCCAGATGTTAAGAAGCTCAAGTTATTTTAAAGTATAAAGAGAAACTGCTGGGTTAATTTTGAGACACTAGACAAATCACTGTTTAGTTTGCTTTAGAACAATAGTGCATGATATCACATGTTTAAGAGGCAGAATGACAGTGAAAATTTAGGTCCTTAACCTGGGTTCACTCCTGAATCACAGATACTGATTAAGTTCTATATCACAGAGCAATAAAGCAGGTCCTTTCAGGTTATTCTGTATTAAAATGGACTGATTATAATCATGACAGAAGACTCCATTTTTAAAGGTACAGTGTTCATAATGTTTTACAAAAAAATTCATGTTTACAAACTCTCACACTTAGCTTCCCACAGAACAAATTTTGCATGTATTTCTAAAACAGTTTAAATCATATGATTTTTCATTTTCTCCTAATTGGCAAAGCTCTTCTTTTGGGATTTTCTCGTTTGCATTGCCCAACTCCAAAAAACACCCTTTAGCAATGCAATTTATATGAAAGGCTACCCAAATTTTCATATTGCCATGGCTTTTTAACCCCTCGTATAATATTTTACATTTTTCCTTTCATTCTTTCTTAAAAAATATTTTATAATTGTAGATGGACACAATACCTTTATGTTATTTATTTATTTTTACGTGGTGTTGAGGATCAAACCCAGTGCCTCACACATGCCAGACAAGTACACTACCACTGAGCCACAATCCCAGCCCCTTTCCTTTCATTCCTGTCACTAATCTTTGGTTTCAATGACCATTTAATAAACCATGTGGTATAGCAGGAAGCCATGTGGTGGTTACTGTGGGGTGTGTTTGTTTTATGCCTGTCCAGCATCTGCTATCCCTTCTTCCTAAAAACATAACTCTATTTTCTTTAGAAGCTTTTAAACTTGTTACACTTTAGCCAGGTTTTGGGGGCAGAACTGACCTCCTATTGGCAGGGGCGTGTTCTGGTGGTGACAGGCATAAGACAACTTGCATATTCCTTTCTCAGAAGCTCAGCGATTGATTCAGAGATACATGTATAACCCAATAGAAGCCAATTAGATGAAAGGAGATACTTTGGCTCTTCCCACTTCTATAGATGGGGCATGAATTCTACTAGGGGAAGTAGGCAGCAAATAAGATACGTTACATGGTGTTCAGAATTAAGAAGAAAAATTAAGAAGGGAAGGGGAAAGAGGAGTGCTTTTTTTTGCATAGGTGCTGTTTTAGATAGGGTGTCCTAGGCAAGATCTCACTGACATTTGTTCATTTTGGGTTAAGAGCAGAAGAATGAGACAATGTCTGGTAAGAACCCTTCCAGGCAGGGACGCAGGGAATGACACATACAGAATCTCACATGAAAGCTTGGTGGGAATGAATAAGGAAGAACTTCAAGATCAGTGTGCTTGGAGCCCTTGAACAAGCAAGATTAGGTCAGAGATAATAGGATAAAGATCTGCAGAGAGCTGTGTAGACCATTCTGAAGACTTTAGCTCTTACTCTTAGAGAAATGAGATGATATTGGGGGATGATAGAGAGGATTATAATGGCATCCTTTGTCTGCTATATTGAAAGGGGGAAAGTGTATGTGCTGGTTAATTTTATGTGATAATCTGACTGGGTTAAGGAATGCCCAGAGAGCCACAAAAACATATTTATGGGTATTTCTCCAAGAGATTAGCATTTGAATCAGTATGCTGAGTAAAGATCATACTGGGTGGGCAGAACTGAGGGTCTCAATAGAACAAAAAGGCAGAGGAAGGGTGAGTTCTCTCTTTTGTAACCTGGACAAGTCATCTTCTCCTGACTTCAGACATGAGAGACTTCTGAGATGCTAGGACTTACATCAAAGAATCTCATCTAGCCTTGGCCTGAGCTATAGTTTTGGCTCCCCTCATTCCTAGACCTTCAGACTTGAATCAAATTATGCCACTAGTTCTTGGTTCTCTTACTCACTGATGACATATTGTGGACTTCTCAGTCCCTGTAATTGCATAAGCCAATTCCCTTGTTTTATATCTCTGTAGCCCATTGGCTTGTTCCTTTAAAGAACCCTGACTAAGACAGGGTAGAAGCAGGAATACTAGTTATGACTGTTAGTATATTGAAATAGTGATTTAAATTTTTCACTGCTCTTAATTGGGGGGTAGATAGAAATCTTGAAAGAAATTGTAGGTACAGCTCCAGCTCTTGTCACATGGAGTTGACTAAAGCCAAACACATAGAAAATCCATAGTTTTAAAAAGAACTTTATTAGGAGAAGCACTGCCATCAACCAAGAGGGACTTAGGCTGTGGAAGATATAAATAGACACTTGGATTCTCAATTTTCCACAGATAGGAAATAGTCTGAGAAACCCATTTATCCACCAAAAAGGGTATATCTCTAATGTCCATTGCAAAGGACTAAGTAAGATGATGGAAAAATAATGATCTCCTAGAGTACAGAACCAAAAGTTTTATGGACGATAGACTCAAAACTCTTTTTTTTTTTTTTCAGTGCTAGAAACTGAAAGATCAAACCCAGGACTTATTATGGAACATTATTCCTCACCCCAGCATATAAAGGAACCTGACACCCTTCACTCGGTGGGATTTCATTATTATTTCAGATCAGTAACTGCTATTTGCTTCCATTATTTTTTGAATCAGATAACTTTTTAATGATTATATTATCTGTATTCCATTATTTGTTGTATGTTGGGTATATGAGAAGAAGATATTTGTTCTTTTAATTCATAGGTTTTATAATATAGGAGCTATATTTGGACTTGAGGTAAATCATGAGATCATATACTTCAAATATTTGATGCAACTTTTAGGAGTTTTGAGATATGAGTATATTTTACATGTGGGAAGGATATGAATAATTGTAACCCGGAGAGCACAATATGGTAGATTATTGGTCCCAATTCTTTACTACTACCCTGTAGTAGTATTAAGCATACAAGAGGTCTTTCCTATGGTTGCTTGAGGAGCAGTCAATTTCCTCACCTTCTTGACTTTGGGCTTAGTCAGACAACTTTCTTTGGTCAATGGGATGAAAGAGTTGATAAGAGCAAAAGCTTTAAATATTCTTGCATGTTGGGTTTTCCTGTTTTTACTTCTGTGAGCACCATGAAAAGAGTTTGTCCTGGGCTTCAGCATGGGCTTTAAATAGGACACATGAAGCACAGGCACTATTAGTTGACTACTAGTTGACCCTTGGGCCCTTAGCCTGAAGCATAACTCCCCTAGTCAACCCACAAACCCTCAGTTTAGAGGCAGATCTGAACCTAAGTCTTGGATCCAGCTTAGCTCAGCTAAATTTTTGCTTTCACAATTATCCATGGGAAAAGACAACTTTGGGATGGATTATGCAACAGTAATGTGGCAATGATGGCCAATGTAAACGTTCATGAGAGAGTTGATGGGAACTAGGACCAAGGTGGTAGCAACATAAGTGATGAGAGGTGTTTGGTTTCTGATGTATAGGTGGACCCCATAGGCTTTGCTAACATTGTATGTGGGTTGGGGAGAAACAGAGAAGTAAAGGATGAATCCAAGGTTTTTGGTTTGGACAATGGAAAAATGGAGTGGCTATTTTCTGAGATGGGAAACACTCCAGAGAATTGGGATTTGGGAGGCAATATCAGGAGGTGTTTTGGACATTTTTCTTTTAAGGGGGAATAAATATCCAAATAGGGATTTTAAGTAGGCAGTTGAACATTCAAATTTGGAGGAGAAGGGAGAAAGGTCTGGGAGTGATGAGTATGGAGATAGCTTATAAAGTCATGAGATTGGATGAGATCAACTGGTAAATGTAGTGGTTAGTGGATGGGGAACTGAAGAGTTATGCAAAGGATTGAGAAGGAACAGCAGTTAGATAAGTGCTAACAAAATGTTATTGATATGTGTTGTTATTAAGACTACATCCATTGCTCCCCATCTTCTTTTTCTTTTCCTCCTTCATAAATATAACTCCCACTAAATGTGCGTCTGTGTATGTGTGTGAACTGACTAGATGGAAAACTCAGTATTAATTTTTTCATATATAACAGAGAATTATTAAAAAAAACTAAATGGTATCTTTTCCTCACCTGTTATATATTCACTAAAGAAAATCTTTTCTCTTTTGATCTCCTCTCTAGAACAGGGAAGCTAAGTCTTTACATTAATTCTGGGTTCCCTTGATGATTCTTTGACCAGGATGACTTTGTTCAAGAAGGAAAGGTGTTGCAGGTTGATGTCAAAAACAAAAAGTGCATAGTGGAATGAATAGCTGAAACTATTTTTTTCCCCCATCTCTAAGCCTGGAGGAGAGGGGGGTAGGAATGGGAGGAAGAGTACAGTGGATATTAGGAGGTTAGCTCGCACGAAGTTCTCCAGTGGCAGAAGGGAACTGAACTCTTTCATCTCATTCATGAATCCCAAGTTTTTTTGATATTCAAGAAAAGGGAGCCCTCAAAAAGGAGAAACTGAACTTTCTAAAAATAAGGTGCTTGGGACTTGAATGGTTCACTGAAAAAATAACAGATAAAAAGGCTTCTTAGACTGTGAAACAAGTATCATCATTTATACATTAAAGATACTTGGGAAGTTTTACTTAAAGAAGGGAGTATGACATAATGATAACTTTTGTCTTTTCAAATATGATACTATTAGTCTTATTCTGTTTGGTTTTAGAGAGCAAACAATAATAAGTTGTAAGATGCATGAAGGAAAGAACATTTCACTGTGAAGTCTCAATGCATAAATAGGGCTCAATACATTTTGATAAATGATTGAAAGCATGTATGACAAATGAAAACCAATGTAACACAAGTAGGCAGATTTTTAAACTTTTCTAATAATTCAAGCTATTCAAAAATTAGAGGCTTGGGATGTGCCCCAATAGTAAGTAGAGCACTTGTCTGGCAAAATCAAGGTCCTGGGTTTGATTCTCATTTGCGCTCTCTCTCTCTCTCTCTCTCTCTCTCTCTCTCTCACACACACACACACACACACACACACACACACACTCTGAAGAGGATTTGAAGGGCAGTAGTATTCTTCATTGCTAGAAGTGAAGCAGGGGATAAAGAATCTTTTTTTTTTTTTTCAGCGATGTGATAGAGATGATTTATTCAGTAGGTAATGGTTAGACCACACAACTTCTGATATCTCTGAAAACTCAGATATTCCAGTATTATAGCTGAATCCAAAGGGGTCTATGTGTAGACTTAGGGCAAGTATAAACAGTTCCCATGATCTTGGAGAAGTCTTCAAGTGGTATGTTTCAATGGCGTGTTTATTAAACAAATGCTCATGACAGATTTTTCACAACAGCAACAAATGTTATTTCACAACATCAAATTTCCCTTACTAAAGGAAAAAAACCCCGATAATCCCAACAAGGTTGATGGATTTGGATTATTTTTTCAAGTGTTCTGGGGGGAAACCAGTGTCCTTACTCCTTTTCCTCTTCTGTCTCATCTTTAACTTTATCTGATTTCATTTTCTTTACCTCTTCTCTGGCTACATGTCCCCGGAAGGCTGCCTGGATTTTGACAGCAGCAGATTCCTCTTTTTCTTTTTCTTCTTCCTCCAACTCCTTCATGGAAAGAAAAAGAGATTTTTAAAACATCCAATGTGTTTTTGATGCCATAGAAATAAGGGCATAAATTTAATCAATTTAAGAATATACTTTCAGAGATCTGCTGCTTCCTGAGAGAATTTTTATATATTGTCACATCGTAGATGTACTAAACAGCAAATGCCAAAATAGCAGGCATTTTGTTTTGTCGCTCTTTAATATGCTTCTGCAATAAAAGATCATTGCCAACTTTTCGTTTTCTTTTTTTTCCAAAATAGCTCCTATTTAACAGTTTTCCTGAGCAATAACATTTTTTGGGGGGGGGTGGGAAATAAGTAGGAATCCTTGAAACATGGTAAAACTGTTAAGAAGATTAGTAAAAGAACTTTTAAAAAATAATCATGATTACATAAGATGATTAAAATGTTAACTTTAAAATTTCTAAATAATTAGATAATTAAAATCAGATACTTTTTTTTTTTTTTGGTACTGGGGATTGAACTCAGGGGCACTCAACTACTGAGCCATGTCCCCAGCCCTTTTTTATATTTTACTTAGAGACAGGGTCTCACTGAGTTGCCTAGTGCCTCACCTGTTGCTGAGGTTGGCTTTGAACTTTCGATCCTCCTGCCTCAGCCTCCTGAGCCACTAGGATTACATGCATGTGTCACTGTGCCTGGCTAAAATCAGATACTTAAGAGTGGAGTACCAAAGATAAATTAATTTACTCCAGTAATGTTAGGTCTATCATTGTTGGTTGCACTTTGACATATTAAAAAAAATTAGGTATAATTTACAGACAGCAAAATGCATGGATCCTAAGTGTAAGTTGAACAGCCCTTAATATACTTTTATTTTTTAAAATATTTTTTTAGTTGTAGTTGGACATAATATCTTTATTCATTATTTATGTGGTGCTGAGGATTGAACCCAGTGCCTCACATGTGTGAGGTGGGTGCTGTATCACTAAGCTACAGTCCCAGCCCTACATTTTTAAATCATAAAAATTACATATGCATATTTAAAAAATCTTATCACTTTCAGTGAAAAGTTTTCTCCATTTTCCCAAACTCTTTCCTAATAGGTTAAGCATTATAATGGATTAAGTGTGTGTCTCCTTCCAAAATTTCTGTTTGCAAAAATGTTTATATGAAGATGTGTGTGTATGTGTGTGTGTGTGTGTGTGTGTGTGTGTATACACACCTTTTTATTTTAAAAATGTATACATACCTTTTTATTTTAAAAATGAGATCATGCTAATCATGGTATTCTGCATCTAGTTTTTCCATGTAACAATGTACCTTAGTTCTCCTTTTCTATGGTATCATTTATTACATAACTCTGATCATTCTCCTATTGATGGACCTATGGGTTGTTCATCCTTCCCTGACTACCTCCATGGTCAAACAATGAGACAAATAGCAATTAAATGCAAAAAGAATGGTATAAAATCCTCTGAGATGCCCAATATATGCAAACAAATTACTCTCAAGTTGGAAATCAATGAAATTCTAACTTAAAACCCATGAAAACCTATTTATAAGGGCATCTGTGAAAGATATAAGGAAAGAATAGTCCCTTTCCTTCTTCCCTGAATTCCCACTACACTGCTACCAATATTAGGCTTATTGGATTGTACTAATATAATTCTGGAATAATTTTGTAAATATTATAGGGAAAATCTGCTCCTCATTGCGTGAGAAACAAGGTATTTCTTAAGGGGCACGTCCATTTTTAGGTGTCAATTACTGGATAACTAACTGGGACATTTGGCCTTTGACATTATACAGAGTGGGCTCTTTCTCATGAGGCTTGGTCCTCCTGATTCTGAACTATAAACAATATAGACAGTGATATGCTGGTAAATGTTTAACAACTGCCTGCAACCCCCACTCCAACCCCTGATCCCAGACAAAAAAAAAAAAAGAAAAAAAGCTCTATTTCTATTTTTTTCCATAGCCTTAGTATGCTCAAGTGGCTATTAAAATGATATTATTGCTGGGCATGGTGAAGCATACCTGCAATTCCAGCAACTCCGGAGGCTGAGAGAGGAGGATTGATTGCAAGTTGGAGGCCAGTCTTAGCAATTTAGTAAGACCCTAAGCAACTTAATGAGACCCTGTCTCAAAATAAAAATTGATAAAAGGGGCTGGGGCTGTAGCTGAGTGGTAAAGTACCTCTGGGTTAAATCTCCAGTACCAAAAAAAAAAAAACCATATTACTGAACTTGAAGTTGAGTAGAGATGTGTATAATTGTCTCTTGAGTGCTGGCTTTAGCATATAACTGAGTTATAGATTGGTATCCAGGGCAAACTTCCTTTTGTCTCTGCACCTTGGATGTAGGCTGTCAGGAGGAAGGCATTATTGTAGAGGTCTATGCATGGAAGATGAGTCAGTCACATTGTGTTTAAGTCATTTTATTTCCCTGTATGTAATTCTCTATGATTTTTCCTTTTGTAATCTCTGAACCTCTGCCATTGTGACGTGGTGACAGTAACAATTAGTGAAAAATTCCCAGAGTGGCAGATGAATCTGAAAGATTGAGACTGGGGCTCTAAGTTCTGTTAGCATTTCCCCAAGGGAAGATTTTCTGTCACTGACAATCTTGGAAAATAAGATTATATTTTTAATAGGTAGAATGAGTTTTCCTTTATAAAAGGCATGGGTGAAAATAATACACCAATTTATCACTGACATTAATTATCTATAAAGCAAAATTATAATTTTAACAATATAGATAATAGACTGATTCATATTTGGAGCATAATTTTAAAGTGAGCAATATCATTCTTTGTAGAAATCTGATAATAAATGGAAAAATTACATACTTCTGCATTGCCTGGTATGTCTTCTATGTCTTCCCCTTTCACAGATGTCTGTGACTTTTCTTGAGCAGATTGTTCTTGCTCCTAGAGAGATGGGAAAGGGAAAGGGTCAATATATATCTTTTATTAAGTAAAACATGTTGGAACAAGAAGAAATAAATGAAAGCTCTCAAGGGAATATGTATACACACATTTCAAAGACCAAGGATCTGGCAAAAATGCTTGCTGTTCTGCTTTTGAAATGAATTCATCACTGATTTACATGAAAAACAAACCATTGTCTCATAGTAAAAGTCAATAATGTGAGGTAATGAATCCTGAGGAAAGCCCAAAAAAGGGGTATCAATGATTTCTAAAATAGTCATAAAATAAATGCCATTGTGATGCATAGTGTAATGTCAAATTGACTTAATTAAATTCATAGATTAAAAACAAGTCAAGGAAATATGTTTCCCTGTAGAGAGTGATTTAAATATAAAAAGAGAAGCCAGCTCCACCAATTTTGATATGGTTATTGAGTGTTCCTTCAAAATATAGGTTTAAGGGCTGGGGTTGTGGCTTATCTGTAGAGCACTTGCCTAGTACATTCGAGGCCCTGGGTTTGATCTTCAGCACCACATAAAAATAAATAAATAAAATAAAGATATTGTGTCCAACTAGAATAATTAAAACTATCTCAAAGTGTTTTAAAAATACAGGTTTTAAAAAAATAAACAAAACAAAAAAATATATAGGTTTTGCTAATTCACCATCTGTAGGAAGGGCCTCTTTCATTTTAACCATAAAACAGAAAATTGAGAATATACAAGGAAATAAAATAAAGCCTTAAGAATTCAAAAGGAAAGAAAAAAAAAACAATCTGAAATTACTGTTTGACCCAAGGAAAAATATTTTTCAAAATTATCCCTTTTATTTCACAAAAGAGAATTTAGTAAAATAGAAATAAATAGATCATCTCCATATATGTAGGCACAAATGAATGGAACTTCACTTTTGAACTCACTGGAATAAATGACAGCTACTGCTGCAGAACCTTCCCCAAATCTACTGAAGAACATCATCAAAACCTGAACTTTGTTAATTCCTTTTAATTCTAATTACTCAAAAGATGGTATTATCTCAGTTGTACAAAGTAGTGTTCTCAAATCATTATTGTTATTGTTGTTATTATTATTATTATTTTAATCTTCCACATCATTTATTATCCTATGATAATGTGTGTGTGTTTTAAATGATTATGGAGTTTTGACTAGAGCAATGTATCATGAATTTATCTAGTCTGTTGTTGGACGTTTTGGTTGTTTCTTTTTTTTTTTTTAATTAGTTGCTCAAGACAATACAATGATCTTGACATATCATACATTTGATTCAAATGGGATATGAATTCTTATTTTTCCACATGTACAGATTGCAGGATCACATTGGTTATACAGCCACGTTGATACATACAGCAATACTAGTGTCTGTTGTATTCTGCTGCCCTTCCTATCCCCCACTCCCCTCCCCTCCCCTCCCATCACCTCTCTCTACCCAATCTTCTGTGACACATTTCTCTCTCTTTTATTTCCTCTTCTTCCTCACACCATCATATATGTAATTTTGTATAACAATGAGGGTCTCCTTCCATTATTTTGAGGCAGGGTCTTCACTATGTTGTCCAGGGCTGGCTCTGAACTTCTGGATTCACGTGATCCTCCTGCTTTGACTTCTTGAGTGGCTAGGACAATAAGCATGCAACACCATACCCAGCTAGTATTCTCAAATTTTAATATATCTACAAATTACTTTGGGGATCACGTTAAGATATAACTTCTGATTTGTAGAACTGGGGTAGAAACTGAGACTATAAATTTCTGTTAAATTCCCAGTTGATCCCAATGATGATGATCCCAATAATCTTTCTCAACCATCCTTCCTTATCTGAACCACAGAACACAGAGAATGTTTTGAGTGGTGGTTTTTTTCTTAGTTTTCCCAAGGATGCTACAAAACTAGAATTATATTAGCTAAAAAGGCAAGACATGTAATGGGTGCTTTAATTTAGGGCCTAAGTTTTTTGAGGAACCTTGTTAAGAAAAGCTATCTTTGAGAATACTGCTGAGATAGATAGGTTCAGATTCTGAAGAGATTAGCTTTATAGAGAAAACTTTATATCATTACCATCTTTAATTCTAATTAGTCTTTTGTAACATATAAGTGACAATGAAATATTTGAACTAATGTTGTTTTATTTAATGAAATGTCATCCATTCATTTAACAATGTCATCCATTTATTTGTTGAGTATCTGCTCTTTCTAAGCATTGTAATGTTCAATGAAATTTGAAGAATTTCAGGCAGGATAATTTTTCTATAACTTTCAAGCACCTTCTGTCTATTGATAATCTTTAAATTTAACCTAAAAATCTATACTTGAGTCAAATACTTCAGAAAAGAATTTTATTAGAAAAAACAGTGTAATTAAAAAGTTTTCATGTTAATTCTCACAATTCTGGGGAGAATCTAATAATATTTGTTTTCTGGATAGAAGAAATAGCCAAATTCAATGGTTTCATAGAACTATACCTTGAATGCATGGTTGTTATAGAAGCGGTCCTCTACCTTAGCCCCCCATTCTGCTGGATCAAAGTTGGTTTCTAAATAATAAAAAGAATAATTTCACTTATTTTGAGTTCATTAAAGTAAATCCTGAATAGCAGCACACAAAAATTTCTTGTTCCAAGTTACAGTTTCTTTATTGACAGTCAAAAATCTTATTGACAATTCATATGGTCTAGTACTATAGACACAACCAGTGATCATTAAATATAAGATGATCAATTAAACATTAGATGAGCCCTTGGGGATATTTACATTAGCACTAAAAAACATTCCTTCTGCTTTCATAGAATTTATAACAAAATGAGAGAACAAATGTCAATATTTAAATATGAATATAGGCACAAATAAATATGTATTAGTAAATACAGAAAAGTATTTAAAAATAAATGCTAAGTAGTCAAGAAGTTTGGAAAAGTGAAGTATGGGAGGTTTTTTTTTTTTAAAATATAAGGCATGTTATAGAGATAGTTGATGTGATGGGATGAGGTATTTATATTTAAACAGAAATTTTCTTTAACATTTCACTATGAAAAATTTCAAACTTAGAAGGTAGAGAGAATAATATAACAAAGTCCCATATGTGTATGACCTAGATTCAACAATTATCAACTCATGATTTATTTAACATATAATCTTTTCTTCTATTATTTTCAAGTCAACTCTAAGCACCTTATTATTTTATTTACAAACATTTGAATGTGTTATCTCTAAAAGATAAAGGATCTTTATCTTTAAAATATAACCATAACATTATCATACCTAAATAGGAACAGTAATTTATTAATATAATCAACTATCCAGTCAACTATCCAAATTTCTCTCATTGTCTAGTATATTTTGTTCTTGATCAAATTAACACCCCCCCTCCCCGCCAAAATGTGCATGTGCAGCCTTTTGTTGTTATATCTTTTAAATTGCTTTAATGGAACCCCACCCACCCATTATTTTCCTTGCAGCAATTTATTTGTTGATGGAATTGGGTCATTTTTCCTCTGGAATTTTCCACAGTTTGGATATTTATGACTCTATCTCCATGGTGGCTTTTAACAATTTCCTTTGCTTTTGAATGTCCTGCAGACCTATAGATTGTATCTGATTGAGGTTTGACTTTTTGGGGTAAGAATACTTGATCAGTAGAGTTGTGTAATCAGGAGATAAATAATATCTACTTGTCTCTTTTTTTATAATATTTGTGGGTCCCGTGTTGATAAATCACTTAAGATCATTTCTTTAGGGGTTGAAAAATTGTAATACTCTAATTTGATCATTACCTCTTTATTTTTTGAAGAAACTCAACAACAACAAAAAAAAGTGGTTGTCCTCTTCAACTATTTGGTTACCCTGAAATACAGCTCTTACAGAAAAGAAAATTTTTCTTCCCCTCTGCCAGTTTTCAAAATAATCAGTTGGTTTCCTAAGATCCTCTCAAGATGTCCAATGAATGGTGGTTTTGTTTTAATTATGAAGTCATGAATATTTAACCAACTGGATGAATTCCAGTACTGATTGTAATTGTTCAAAATTTGGCCAGAGGGAGCTTAATTCAGGTGCTCAGATTCTCCTAAGTCCTTTGCAAACTACTTTAGTAATCCTTGAGAGTGTTTTTTTTTTTTTTTTGTATGACAAGATGGTCAGCCTCATCTTCTGTATTTGTGACCAGTGCATAGAATTAGCTAGTTTCCCAAGAAGCCGGGGGTCATCGGAAACGATATTCAGAGATGAAAATCTAGGGGCTAGGTGCCCACTGGTACTGAATTGGTCATTGTTCTAAGGTTTTTTTGGGGTATGAAGCTGAAAACTACTTCCATTTCTCAAAAGAGAAAATGTATCATGAAATCACATTGATATTTTTCAATTACAATTTAGGATTATATGGGGCCCTTCATGCCTATAATCCCAGTGACTTGGGAGGCTGAGGCAGGAGGATCATAAGTTTGAGGTCAGCCTCAGCATCTTAGGAAGACACTCAGCAACTTAGTGAGAACTTTTTCAATATAAAAAATAAAAAATAAAGGACTGGGGATGTAGCTAAGTAGCAACACACTCCAGGGTTCAATCCCTAGTACCAACAAATATATAAAATAAGTAAAATGAAATTTAGAACTGCAAAATTTTATAAACTTCTTTCATTTTTAAAATTTTAGGTCAGTATTCCTACAATAATACTGATTCCTCATAGCACTAGCATAGTTGCTTACCTGCTTTATTCTATACTATATAAATAAATAGTGTTCAGAATAACCCTCTGTTAGTCACTTTTCCATTACTGTAACAAATATCCAAGATAAATAAACTTAAAAAGAGGAAAAGGTTTATTTTGGCTCATGATTTTGGAGGTTTCAGTCTATGAATGATTGGCTCCAGTGTTTGGGCCTATGGCCATTATCAAAGCAGGAGTATGGAGGAAGCTTGTTTACCTCTTGACCAAGTAAGAGAGAGTGCCCACAATTCCCTTTAAGGCCATGCTCCCAGTGATCTAAAGTCTCCCCTCTAAGCCCCATCTCCTAAAGGTTCCACCACCTCTTAACAGTGCCACAAACTGGGGGACAGCCTTTAACACATGAACCTGTGGGGGACATTCTGATTCAATTATAACATTCTACTACAATATTATTAGCAATGATTACTGAAAACATTTTAAGGTTTTTATGTTGTTGTTTATTTTGATTTTAGGCTATACCTACCAGGTTTGTACAGTAAAATTACTGTGTGATGTACTTACTTGAAATAATTTTCTTCCTTGTGTTTGTGTCACCTACTTACTATTAGTTCATTTGTTTAACTTCATTTTTAAGTGTTAGGAATTGCTTAATTTTTAAATTTAATCTTATTACTATGCTAAATATTAATAAACCCAAACAAACTATATTTTATCTTGTTACCTCTATCCTATTTCCTTTTGCTAGAGGAAAATGTTAATTTTAAAAGATTTATTCTTACATTAAAATAAAGTTATATATTTGTATCAATCTTTTGTTAGATAATAGGATACTAAGCACACCTTCTCTCATCTTGTTTTTTTTTCCCACTGATTCCTAAAGATCATTCAATATCTAGAGATCTTCCTTATTCTTTTTTAAGTTATATATTATTACATTGAGTACTCTTACTATTATGGGGTTGAGTGTGCAGTTCAGTGGTACAAAATTTGTCTAGTGTGCATGAGGTCCTGGAGATTGATTCCCAGTACCTAAAGAAAAAAAATCTCTACTATGGATATTTAAGTTGTTTCCATAAATGTAGAGGTAGAACTTCTGGGCCAATGATTAAATACATATATAACGTTGGTAGGTACTACTGAGTTTCTGTCCTTCGTGTTGTACCATTTTGCTTCTCCACTGTGTGAGTGCATGTTCCCCTAGCCTTGCTTAGAGTGTACTGGCAAACAGCATTTTGCAAGTTTGATGGAGGGGTGATTGTTGGTAACAGTGTAGTTTTGGACTTCTGTTACTTGCAGCATTTAAAAAAATATTTTTTTAGGTGTAGTTGGACACAATGCCTTTATTTAACTAATTAATTAATTAATTAATTTTCATGTGGTGATGAGGATTGAACCCAGGGCTTTGCACATGCTAGGTGAGCACTCTACCACTGAGCTACAATCCCAACCTCTACTTGCAGCATTTGAGTAGATTTTCAAGTTAAGAGCCATTTGCATTTATTTTTGTTTGAATTATTCATATCTGTTTCTTTTTTCAATATGGTTGTCATTAGAAGTGGGTCATAAGACACTGTTTTTACAAGCTCCTTATTAGGTTTATTAACCCACTGGGATAATAATTACAAGTATTTTTTTTTTCCTGTCACTTGTAGTTTTATTTTCTTTTTGGTACTTTTTGTTATGTAAAAGTTTACTTTTATGACATCAGTTTTATCAATCTGTTCATAATTGTATCTGGAATTTGAAGCCATTAAAGCAACTTAGCATTTTTTTGTTATTAAGAAACTCATTCATATTTTTTTCTTAGTATTTGTATGGTTTCTTTTTTTAAAAAATATTTTAATACCTTTATTTCACTTATTTATTTTTATGTGGTGCTGAGGATTGAACCCAGGGTCTCAAATGTGTGAGGTGAGTGTTCTACCAGTGAGCCATAGACCCAGACCCTGGTTTCTTTTTTTAATATTTAAATTTCCAACCAATTTAGAATTTATTCTGAATCAGTCTACTTTTATTCTTAACTTCTTTAATTCACTATCAATTCATAAAAAGCCCACTGTTTCCCTAGTGATTTGAGATACCACTTATATACTGATATGTTTTTTGTCACAAAAATAAACATTAAAACAAAATCACCTGTGATGAATGATAGTAAGGGAATTCTTGCATTGTATGGGATACTGAGAAGAAATTCCATGATTTCTTTTGCCTTTTTCGAGATGCTACATTCTGATACTTATATCAGTTGGATAATTCACCTTTGGTTAACATGGATGGAAGTGGGTATGGTGCTTAAAATTTTTTCAAATGGTTTTACTGGTTGTTTATTACTGAGCTAGTATTCCCAGGCCATTAATCTGAATAATGAAATTGCTTTTATTACTGGGATCTGGTAATGGTGACTCAAACGTTTCTGTAATGTTATGTTTCTGAGTTTTAAAATTAAACAAATGACTAAAGGCATTTTACTGCATGAATTTGTAAAATTAATGTTATAATAACAAAATTAGTGTTCATAATAATTTACCTCTTTCCCCAAAGCATTTTTCTTACTAACCTTTTCTCCCTAAATATAGTTTGTCAGATATTTTTAGTGCAACTTAAAAGTATAAATAAGATTGTGCAACAGGGCTGGGGATGTGGCTCAAGCGAAAAAACGCGCTCGGCTGGCATGCGCCAGGTGCTGGGTTCGATCTTCAGCACCACATAAAATAAAGATGTTGTATCCTCTGAAAACTGAAAAAAAATATTAAAAAAGATTGTGCAACAAATATTCATCTTGACTGGACATGGAAAAAACTAGCAATGGCCAGGAAATTGGCAGAGATTCTGAGCTTTATAAGGGCAGAATAAAGAGTACAAGGGGTGGAGCTGTGCCATGCATGTGAGTTGTTTGAATTTGAGCCTTGGGCTAAGATTCTTCCCTCTGTAAAATGATTTGCAATGGAATATCTGTCTGCTTGTGGCAATTTCTAGTCACCTTTACCATTCTGTTGGAATACTATTATTGAAAGTAACAATAACAGTTTATACAAAATGAATTTTATAGTCAAGAATAGGTTTTTAGTATAAACATATAACTACTAATTCCCAATTTTGATTCTGGGTCAGGTCATGATAGTCACAAACCTTTAAGACTGGGGATTTGGAAGTTTTATTCATGGTAGTGAAGGAGCTTTGCTTTGGTTCTCAATCAGAGAGTTACCTTTAGATCTTTGTCTGTGCAGGATGAGAGTTTTAGAGTATAAAGAATATAAATTACCTTCCCATGTTGGCAGTTCACTTTTCAAAATAGTTTGTTTCTGTGCCTTTATTGAAGAACGGTTTCATACCCCAGTGAAGACTGTTTTATTTAATCTAAGGCAAGTTGAATTATTTTTGTATTACTTATAATACCTTCAAATGAGAAGAATCAAAAATTAAAGAAAATTGCAAATTACCCTCTCAGGAAGAACAGAAAGTCAACTATTGAGTATGCACAAGAGCAGTCTCTTAGATAGTGGAGAGGAACACTTGTCTGATCTTTAGAGGTGCCCCCTTCCACACCGTGTGTCCATGAGAAACACAGTGAAGAAAGTCTGCAGAATAAACAGGTAATGTTGAATAAGAGAATCAAGAGAAGCTGTCAAGGAGGCATATATTGTTTCCAATAGCAAGAACTGTTATGTGAAGTCACCTGCTTAAAGGCTTGTTGTAGAATAAAGATGGTCTTAAGTTTTACCATAACCCAAATGCTTAAGTCTTTTATTTTAAAAATGTCTATTTAAAAAAAGCTTACTCTCTCTTTTCTCTAGAAGGTTCTCAAAATATGCTGCTGCAAAAGCTGGTATGTTTTCTGGTTGTTCCCTCAGAATCTCACGTGTCAGGCCTTCAAGAAGATTCCCAAATCCTTGTGGAATTCGATAATGGGTGTTGGAGAATGGAATCGACATCTCCTTGGGAAGAATTGCCTAGAGTACCTAGAGATTCATTAAAGAGCACTTATCTTTAAATTTTTCTGATGTTAATTATTAATTACATAATCACAATTATGACAACAAAATGTTTCTGAGACCCAAATTTCCTGGACTTCAACTTTTGTTTCTCTAAAGATACCCCAAATCCATATATTTCCACTCCTGCAGAGAATTTCAAATTCTGAGATTTATAAGGGCAGAATAAAGAGGACAAATTCTTCATTTTGAATTAGAATATTACAAATATAGACTCATTCAATTGACTAAATAATTTTTTAAAAATTAAACCCCACAGTATTTACTATGCCACTAAGTACTTTTTTCTGCCTCTGTCTTCCGGTATTAAAAGATGTGGGTAAATTTTGCTATTCCACAGTATTTAGACAGAACGATTATTAAGAAAGGTATTTTAACTGAATTCATTATTGATCGCTGAGAAGACACTGTTTAAGGTCTAAAAAAAAATTACTTCAACTTGTTAAATTAAATTTCACACTTATTTTTTTTTTCTTAGCTGCCACTTCTGAAGCCTGACCTATATGTCTTGAAACACCTTTGCACTCTTGAATGGCATTGAAGAGAGGAAAAAAGAAGGTCATGGTTTTGAAATCCCAGGTTGCGAAGTTTTGGGATTCTTTTATTGTCTGGTTTTGTTTCGACCAGGCCTTCTCTTTCTGTCTTAGAATACAAGGCTAGATTAAGGTAGCTGCCAAGCAATGGGCTGGACTACTGAGTATGCAAAGAATACCCAGGGACCTGGCCTGTTTTGTGAGTCAGCGCTGAATAGGGGGTCCAGGTTGGGAGACAAGAGGGTTTAACGACGCCCAAGTCCTCCCCGCGCCCACCCTTTGTAGAGGAAACAGGAGATGAGACCTTCCTCCAGACGTTGTGAAAGGACAGGTGAGACCCTGAACCAGGCTGGGGAGGGAGGGCGGATAGTGTGATTCCGTCGAGGACCTGGGATTTCAGACTCTCGAAGGATGGGCTGCCTTGGCTCCCAATCTGCTCCCGGATCCCCAGTGTGTGTAGGGGATGCTGAGAGAATACCAGAGACGAAGGTAAAAGGCGAGGTCTTTGTGTTGGAGAGCGAGTGGGGGAAACCGCCTCACCTCTGCTTTCTCTCCGAGCTGGTGCGGGTGGTTCCGGTTGTTTTTTCTCGTTGCTGGGTAACCGTTTTTCCTCCCTCCCCCTAAACTACGGCGGCCCGGAGGGAGAGAGGAGCTCCTCCCTCCGAGGCCGCGTTGGTTTCGCGGACTGAAAGTCCCCGGGAGGGTGGAGTCGGCCTCACAAGCCCCGCCCCGCCCCTGTCCCCGCCCCACCCCCCGCTGTGGTGCACTTCCCAAGTCCAGCGGGTTGCCAACAGACCGTCGGAAGCATGGTGGCCCCAGGGTCTGCACTCCGGCTGGTTCTGCCATTAATCCTTTTGGCCGACAGAAGTGCAGGTGAGGCGGCCCGGCTCGTTCGGACCCCTCAGGGGCCTCAGGCTCCGAGGTCCGGATCCTCTTCGGGATCCCGATCCGCGCCGGCCTTCTAGGTCTGGGACCCAGCCCATGGCCTGGGGCGGTTTTCTGCGACCCTGGCTGGCTTGCGGATGTTTGCTGCGCCGGAGACCAAGCCCTTTCGCTTTCTCCGCTCCCACCCGCTGTCCTTAACTTGTGTGGAGGAGGGGAAAGAGTTAGGTTTATCAGAGTGAGGAAGCTCAAATGTGCCCAGACGGAGGCCCTCAGGGGAGCTAGGAGGAAAGGGGGCGAAGCTAGTTAAAAACTATTGGGAAACAGGTGACTGAGTCATCCAAAACATTTCAGCAGCTTCCCCCTCAGTGGTGCCTTTGGGGAGGCTGTGCATCAGCCTGGGTTCCTTGGGGGAATTAAATTTTACTCGTTTAAGTGGTTATTAGGGCTAAGAAATACAACCCCCTCACTAGCTCAGAATAATTTAAGGCTCAGCTTTGATTTCTGGTGCAGCTTAGAAATATGGATGGTGGTTGATACGTGTTGGGAAGGGGAGTAATTCAAATTGGCCACTGTGCAGGTCAGAGCCTGCTGTTTGAATACCCTGGGCTGAACCCTGGGTCACAGCATGGAGATACCAGAAAAGGGGGCTCTGTCTGCTAATACAAAGTAAAGTGATAGTGCTGAATTATTTTTCCTTCTTCAGACCACTCAAAGACCGAGTCCCAGAGATCTCTGTTGAGTCCCAGAGATCTCTGTTAAATATAAGTTGAGATGAGAGAATGATATGACTGCTGCTCTACTGAAGCACCTTCAAAATACCCACATTCACACAGGCAGCATAGTGAATAGTTTTTAGAGTTCAATAAGATTAGCAAACAGTTCTTAAGATTTCAACAGTGTTTTGTTAAGCATATAGAAAAACGGAGTGACAAGTACCTATTTTATTAACCTTTCACAATTAGTAGCACTCTGCTTGTCATTCCCTGACTCATCACCACTCAGTGACCATTGGGAACCATCATACAATTTGAGCAGAAGGTAAAGAGAATAGAGCCATTATTTTATTAATTTTTCTGTTAAGGGTTATCTTTAATATCAGTATCAACTCCTTTGGGTCATATCATTATATAACCTTCACTAATAAGGACTATATTTTTCATTCATTCATTCATGTTCTAAATTTCCCATCTTTCTTACTTGCTTTCATATCCTGAGGTCTTTCCTTTAAACCACTCAACCCCCTTTGCCAGTGTTTATCATGTGATATTTGAGGTGTAACAATGAAGTGACCCATGAACTCACCACCCAATTTGAGAACTAAAATACTGAGTTTTATTGAGCCAGTGTTTTCCTCCACATTGCATCTGCCAGGTCCCCCATGAGAGGTAATCACTATCCTAATTTTGTTAGTCTACTTGTAATGATGGTCTGTCTGTTCCCTGAAGCACTCATTCCTTTTTTTTTTTTCAATTCTACTCCCAAATAAAGGGAGAAATTAAAGAAAAAAAAAACAAATGTTAAATGTGTATTGTGTTTGACTCAAAAGCAATTGCCAGTCTTGTTCTCTCAATCTTCCTTAGTCCACTGCTCAATTCCTTGGTCTTCATGTTCCACTGTCTAATCAGGTTGGAATTTAAACCTTATAAGCACAGGGAATTTGGTTTTTCCATGATGAACCATCATTACCTGACAGTGGCAGAATAATAATAACTTTGGACTCAGGTAACTCAGTTTCTAATAGTCCTCTCATAAACTACCTTGTGATTTAAGTCCATTGTCAAAGTTTAATATTTAGTGTCTTTAGCATTGTGCTTGCCACAGTAAGCTCCCTACTAGAATGTCAGCTGCTTGCTGATAAGGATTTTTATCTATTGTTTTCTTTACTGTTCTATCCCTGATACTTAAAATGGTGCCTGGCACATGGTAAGCATCAATCAATAAGTATTGTTGAATTAACAAATATGCAAAAGTTATTTTAAAAATTGCTTAATTTATTTAGGTCTTAGTCTCTTGGTCAGTACCTTTTGATCAGTAACAAACATGATTCTAAGAGGCTTTCACCTCTAAAATTCTTTAGCTCAGCATAATATAGCCATGAACAAAGATATTCATAATATAGCCATGAACAAAGATATTGGCCAACACAGACTGCCTTGAAAAGGTACTTCCCCAGTCTATGGGCTATTGGCTGCACATTCAGATATGCAAATAGCAGCTAGTTTTCTTCACTCCATTCCTCCACTCCTACCCTCTCTCTACTTAGCTCTTATTTATGCTTTTGATTTTTGGTTTTTGTTCCATGTGAAGTACCTACTCAAGACAGGGCCCTCCCACACTTGTGCCTCCCCCTTCCCTCAGCAGGCTGCCAACCTGCTTATGCAATTCTGGGGTGTTGTGGTCTCTTAGAGTGTTTTGTTCATGGCTGCTGTTATTTGCAGCCTGTTAGGCCTTCTGGGTGATCTCTGATTGTCACTGTAGGTATCATGATCAAACTAGCTCATGAGGGTAGGGGTGAGGTACATGAGCACTAGCTAAGGACTTTTAGGGACTGGGCTTCCAAGAGCAGTATAGGCCACCAAGTTTGTGTAGGAGACCCATTAGCTGTACTGCTGTTAAGTGTAGCCTAAGGGGCCTGTCATCATTTATAGCTTCCAGGGAGGAAAATGTCAGCTTTGTTAATTCTGATTCTTTCTCTGCCTATTATTTTTGGTTAAAACCCTTAAACTTAATTTTGTAAATTATTTTAGGGACTTTTTTTTGGTCCGTTTTGTTCAGACAAGTTGGGGCATAAGTTTTATTATTTTCCATGCTAAAATTTTGATGAGGAACTCAATGAGATCATTTGGATTTTATTAAAAAAATACTTCGATATAGGCTGGAAGTTAAAAATAGGAGTGATCTTGTTAAAGTGAATTCTTATTCAGTCTTGTTATCGACTGTAGAATAGAATCCAGTTTCAATTGTGCTTTCTCTTTTCTTTTTGTAGAATTAAGGTTGTGAAATAGGCAAAATTGTAACAAAAGACCTTTCTTTAGACACTTTGACCTTTTGTCTCTTACTGACCATATTTTTGTGTCTTGATTTATCTGAATTTACCTGAGAAAGAAGCAGACTTTTCAAAAATATTCATAAATGCAGTACTGGGGGTGGTCAAAAAACCATAATAAGGGGGATTTATTTGACGGAAATTAACATTGGTTAGAGATAAAGGGTGGGGGATATTAGAGAAGCTGTGATGGAGACAGGATGGCTTCTTTATTCCCAGCTACTGTGGATAGGTGTAGTAATGGAAAGTCAGGGAAGGAAATGGTTTCGTTTTCTTATAAACACCATTTGTGGTGTGCATGAAAGGAACATTTTAGGGATTTGTGGGGAGAAGTATTAGGGCCTAGTCTGAGAGCAAAGGAAGATCAAGAACTCTGAAGGGGGAGAGAAGGAAAAGAGGCACTGGTTTCCTTAGAGGTCATATTGTACTATGATATATATTGTTTGGAACTGTTCTTGTTATATTGCTTACTTAATTAGGAGGAATAAGATCTAGTTTTAAAAGATTAAAAGGTTTGAATGTACTTGAATTCCTTGGTATAGACTGTATTTTTCTATTTCATTTGATCCAGTTGGTGCTGAAACTCCCTGATAATGTACCAGTTTGCTGAATTTTTTAGGTGTTGGTTTTCGCTTTGCTTCGTACATCGATAATTACATGGTGCTGCAGAAGGAGCCTGCAGGAGCAGTGATCTGGGGCTTTGGTATACCTGGAGCCATAGTGACAGTGACCTTGTACCAAGGTCAAGAAATCAATATGAAGAAAGTGACCCATGTGAAAGGTAAGGCAGCCCATCCTCTGTTCAGCTTTTGTCTTCTTCTGCCACCTGCTGGATTATCTGAAAATGAATGCTTATGCTCCAGCCCAGGTCATCCATCCATCCATCCATCCATCCTTTCATCAGTGTTATTTGAGTACTTACTAAATGGCAGAAACCTAGAATACAGAGAAAAATAAGGCTCAAAGTCCCTGATATTACAGAGCTCGTGGAACAATACAAATTGATAGCAAATCATATAGTGCTGTGATGAATGTTTTGATGAAGATATAGGGCTGTCATGGAATATAGAAGAGAAACATTTAACTATGGCACTATAGAGGTATGGTTAAGAAGCTTGGCTCTGGAATTCCTGTCTGGGATTGGGTCTGACTCTTGTCATTTAATGACTTTATAGTCCTCAGACATGCTATTAAAAATCTGTGTCATAGTTTCTATGTGAAATGGAGATAGTCATAATACTTATTGGATTATTTTAAGGATGAAATGAATTAACACATGTACCAGATACTGTGCTGAGTACTGGTGATATAGTGATGAGCAAAAAAGATATGCCTTCTCCCTTAATGAAGTGCCTCCTGCCCAATGTATTTAGGGGAGGAGACAGGAAAAGAATGTGTGATAAGTGCCACAATGAGGAAGGACATAATGTATGGAAATGCTTAGGGAGGTAGGGATAAAGAACTTGTTATGAGGCTGGTCTTGAAAGATGAGTAGGGCAGACCAGAGAGAGGGAGCAGCTGGGGCAAAGGCATGGAGGTATGAGTGGAGGTGAGTCACTGAAGAAGTGCCAGGCAGGTGGGTAAGTGAGAGGTGGAGGATAAGAGGAGCTGAGATTGGGAAGGTGAGGTGGGGAGGTAGGGAGGCTTGTTTGTCTTTGCTAATTAGTAGATTCTCTACTTTGGATCAATTGATTTTAAGCGCAAAATAACCTGATCAAATTGGTATTTTAGAAAGATCCCTTTGGCAATACTGTGGAAGGTGGATTGGCTATCAAATAATGCTCCAGTTGCTTCAATTCAAGCATTGGTGGGACTTGTTAGCATGTTATTATGTTATCCAGCCAATACAAAATGAGGGCTTGACCCAAAAGAGTAACAATGAGGATTGATGGTCAAAAAGATGAGAATTAGCAGCTTTCATGAGCAGGGAGATATTATAAAGGGGTCTCTTTCTAGAAGAGATACGAGATATAAAAGACAGTATGGATGAGGCAAAGCTAGAAGTTCCTGGATGCAGGATGGTGTGCTCAGGGCTGGGTCTTACCAGCTTTAGAATGTGGAAGTGACATTGAGGTAGGTAAGACACTACTGGGGAAGGGGGTGTTGGAGTTAACATATGAATTGGTGGTTTGAGCAATTAAAATAGACATGTGACAGGGAAGCTGGTGGAAACTTTCCTGGCCTCTATAAACAAGGATGGCCTTGTTAGTTTTATCAGTTATCAGAACTGATGATCTAATCTAGAGTATTCCAGACCCAGTGCTGTTGTCTTCATATTCCAGAAAATTTTCATTCAGCACACATTTGAAAATGCATACCAGGCATAGATGCAAGGTAAGAACTTCTAGCAGTTTTTAAAGATGTTTTAAGGTAAAACTGTTGTTGGGTGAAACTAAGAGACCTGAAAGGGAAACTTCAGCTGATTGAGACATGGTTGTCTCTTGAGCTAAACGCTACTGGTAACACAGGATATGCTGAAAATGAAGAATTCCAGAACTAGTGCTTTCTGTTTGTGCTGTGTTCCTCTTAGAAATGAGCAGCATTGTGTGCAAATAGTGGCCCTCTCAGTAAATGACATTGATTTTGGTTTAAAAATAAGATATGGGATTTCTTTGGTACTAATAATGTTACCAGTAAATAGGAGACAGAGACTACATAAAACTGTAGAGACAGATATACAGAATACATTATATTATATAGCACTTTAGTTTTAAAGATTGTTCTTCTGTGTTATTTTTAGAGGTTTTACTCCCTTCATGCCTGTTTCAGGACTAATATCTGAGGTGGGCACAGATAAAGCTGGCGGGTAGGTGGTGATGGGAAGGCATCAAATGTAATCATTCAGAGATGAACTTCCTTTTTTCTTTACAGTGATTGCAAACCTGCTAATTTATCTTAATTTCAATTCTATAATCATCTATTAAGGGCGTAGTGCATATAAAACACTGTCATAGAAACCACAGGAAAATACAAAGAAGGATGCAAACAGTGCCCATCCCTCTGAAGCTCATTCTCTCATGTTTTCCTTTCATATTTTAATGATTTAGGCTCAAATACTGCTCCAGTTGCTTCACTGTAAAGTGATATATATATTTTTTTGGAGTTAAAATAACCAGCAGTACTTAAGGGAATCAAGTGATTCATGGACTCTTGATGATAATTTCACAGGAAAAGGGGTTGGTAATATTGGTGGTGATAGTGGCAGATCAATTTATCAGCATTCCCACATTTACTTGTAGAGAATAAAGGTATTTTAATTTATAGATGTCAGAAAACCTACTTCAATAGGCATCTTGCTCTTTTCTGCCCATGAAGCAAAATGCATAAAGTGTTATTTGGAATAAGGAAGGCAGACATGAAAGAAGATTTATAGTGCAGACAAAAAAACTGCTCAAAAGAGACACTACAGGGGATATTAAACAGCTAGATTCTATTTAAAAAAACTATTTTTTTAAACTATGGATTGAACTCAGGGACACTCAACCACTGAGCCACATCCCAACCCTATTTTTTGTATTTTATTTAGAGACAGGGTCTCACTGAGTTGCTTAGTGCACCTTGCTTTTGCTGAGGCTGGCTTTGAACTCACAATCCTCCTGCCTCAGCCTCTTGAGCCACTGGGATTTTAGAAAGTGGCATGCGCCACTGTGCCTGGCTTTTATTTAAAATTTTGATGAGGACTCTGGGATTTTCTGTCAGACTACTTCAATTTCCCACTTGGTCTGCCCCTTAAATTTTACCTGTCCTTATTACCTGCTATTCCTTAGGGACCCAGAACAAAGTGGAGTTTTAACAACGTATAGGTTTTTGTCCAGCACACTGACACTTAAGCATTGGGACAATAAAAACCTAAAGGATGATCCAAATATGGTCACTTACTGGGTCTGTTCAAATCATGTTGTCAAGTAATGCAGACACAAGGAATAAAGCCAGGGAGAATAGGTATATCATTCACTTTAACAACATAGCAAGGTGTGTGTGTGTGTGTGTGTGTGTGTGTGTGTGTGTGTGTATATGCAGGTGATAAAATGAGGGTGTTTCTGTATTTGTCATCACGATTAAGGAAAACAGATTAATTTTGTCTTAGAAAAACACACAAAAAAGCCAACACCCTTCCCCACTCCTGCTTGCAGTGGTGACATGCATACTAAATTTTTTATATTGCATAATAAATTACCACAAACTTAGGTGCTTAAAATAATACACCTTCACTATCTCTCAATCTCTGTATATCTATGATCTGGCCATGGTCTAACTATGTTTTCAGCTCAGGTTTCACTAGGCTGAAGTCAAGACCAGGCTGTGTTCTCAGCTGGAGGGGTGACTATTGAGTGATCCAGGTCCAAGCTCCTCTAGGTTTTTGGCAGAATTAATTTCTTGAGGGGCAGACTTCATGGCAGCATCCTTGTTGCTTCAAATCTCTGACCTCTGAACCCTTTAATAATGGCTTTGGTGAGTCAGGCCTACCCAGGACAATTTCCCCTTTTATTCATTGAAAATCAACTGATTAGGGACTTTAATCACATCTGTAAAATCCCTTCACCTTTTCTATATAACAATCACAATAGTGACATCTCATCTTTGCTGTTTTCTGTTGATTGAAAGTAAATCACAGGCTCTCTTTTCTCTTGAAGGGAGGGGATGATATAATAAGTCTGTGACTTTGGAGGTCACCCTAAGGGGTGTCTGCCATGGCATGTGTAGTCTAAGTAACTTGCATGAGCAGTTTTATTGAAAGAAAAGTATTTAAATTTGGCTTATTTTGTATTCATATTTGGTTGTATTGGATTTGAAATTCAGGTTGTAGAGTAAATGTAGGTAAATAAGGGATGGTTTAGGCAGTAAACCACTTTCACCTTCAAGCCACTTCCAAAAACCACTGACACACTTTTCAGTTGGTGAAGATCCAGGGTTCCATGAGGAACAGTGAATAGGGCTGCTTCTTTCAGCTCTAGGTTTTTCTCTCTTGGGAAGGCAAAGGTCATGGATAATTTTTCCTTTTCTCTTTCTTGGCTTCTAAGATTTTGGCACAATAACCTTCAAAACAACATCTGATGTGAATAGCAAAAAGAAAAAGCAAGAAAGCACTTTTATGACTAATCATGTCTCTGGGCAAATTATGATCATTTTTTCCCTTTGATTGTTTGCTCTTCTCATTTTGAAGTTGCAATTAATTGGAGAAATGGAGAGAAAGTGCAGATTACATAGTTCTTTACTTATGTCTTTAGCTGGAATATGAAGAGCAACTATAAGAAACAGGCCACCAAATATGCTGTTATGCATGAAGCATAAAGCCCTAGTCAAATTGCTTGGCTTTCTCATCAGTGTAACCTGGGACTGGGGTTTATTTTCTGACATTTACTTGATGGAGTGCCAGGCTCATGGTAAGCACTCTTAAGTAGCTATATAATGAAGAAAGGAAATTAGTCTTCCTAGATGGTAGAAGAAAAAATGCAAAGGAATAGAAATTTAAGTGCAACAAAAATGAGAATTTATAGATATCTGGGCCAGGATTGGTAAATTCACCTAAACCAGTGATTTTTCTGGTTTAGGTGAATTATACATTTAATATGTTGGAGTCTGGCTATTGGTGAGAGAAAAACAAGATAGCAAGTTTTCAGAAGTTGTGGTAAGGGTAGTTTTAGGATCCTGAAGGAGGAACTAAAGCTCAAAAAGCTTATCAGGATCAGCAGAAAACCAGCTGGATGGTGAACTTGGCATTTGGTAATGGTGAGCCCTTTGTGGTCAGTGGATCAATTTTATTATTTGTACTCAACCTGGTGGGCTTGATGGTGAGTGCAGCTTCTAAAACCTCTTAACTGGACTTTACTGGCCTACAGTAAGTTCCTCTTTAACCAAACTGAACTGAACTGACAATCCAAGGACCAGCCAGCTCTCCTCGTGAAACATGGTGGCTTTTGAACAGAAGGAAATTCTTTGGGGTCTTTGAAGAAGTCAAAAGCAGATTTCTCTGGGCTCAAGTCTTAATGCCAGTTTCCCCTCAGGCTCTAGCCCAACATGAAACCTACCCTCCAGCTATATTAGGTTGATGTTGCCATGTTTTACTCAAATTGTTCATACTCCCACTCCCTTACGGTCTTTTTATACTTGGGCAGTAAAATTTTTCAGAAGTTGGTGTAAGGGTAGTTTTCTTCACCTGCCATGTGGCCTGCATTGAGGTTAAGGATAAGTCTCTAATTAATAGCAGTGATTAGGAATATGTTGTATAGTAGTGGAAGGCTACAAAATAGTCCTATCCTGGGTTTTCTGGGGGTTTGCCACATCACCTTATATGAGTAATGTTGGTGGCAGAAGGACAGAGCTTTAGTGAGATATGTCAGTATAGGAAGCCTGGAAAGACCTTGGCAAGATTATTAGGACAGATTGGAGCGTCTGCCTGCTCAGAAGTGTAAGCCATACGGAGCATATCACACCTGTGCGACACAATCTGTACTAGCTGCCCACTGTTTCCAAAACAGTGATTTTTCTGCTTTAGGTGAATTATACATTTAATATGTTGGTGTCTGGCTATTGGTGAGAGAAAAACAATTGTGAACATTTGGTCCTGGGCTTAATTGACCTCCTAGAGATGGGAGTTGCAAGCTTAGTGAATTATGCTTTCCAGAGGAGCAAACATGCACCCTTTCACTGATACCTTGGGGTTTTTTGGACATTTCCTCCAGGAAAATAATCCTTTACGGTTTAGACTTTTACTTATCTCCTTATATATATGTATGTGAGATTCTCGTGTTTCTGTGTAGTTCTTGCTGATTAGAAAGAACCACACAGTATGTGGCAAATAGGAGGCACTTGGAATGGTATTTTTATAATTATTATTTCTCATGGGTTGGGTACAATAACTTCAGAATGCTTTTTCCAGTTTTTACCATTCTTTTCCTTCACATTAACATTGATTGAATGGGTATTATAAATTAGTTCATATTCTTTGAAAAAAATTTTATTTTAAATTGTTCATTTCTCTATTTTTCTACTCTTATTTCTTCAACTTTGCTTATTGTTTCATTCTTTTAGGAATAATTTTGTTATTTTGAAGGTATTTTCCTAAATTCCTGAGTATGATGTTGGCAGTGGTGACCCCTGCAGTGTGTTTGAGAAGTTAGGAAGATGGTGGTGGTGGTGGGGGTGTTTCTAAGGAAAAAGCTATGAATGTCTGAAATAGGGTTTTGGATAGCTTCTCAGCTCCTTAATTGAGTTCAAACATCTTAAATTTTGTAAATGACTCTGAAAATATTTAATTAGACAAATCAAAATAATTTTTTCACAGAGAGATTTATTTGTATGTCTTCTGCTTTCTTTCTTATTGGTGTACTGTATTATACATAATATTGGTTTCATCATGTCATTCATACTTGCATGCAACATGACTTGATCAATCTCATTTCAGTGTCTTCCCTTTCCCTCCCTTGATCTGCTTGCTTTATTCTATGGATCTCCCTTATATTATTATCATTGTTGTTTTAATGCATTATAATTATATGTATCAATTGCTTATATGTATTGATTTATTATATATTTACTATGTATTACATATGCATATATAATATATACATATATTATATTACACACATATATAATTCATTGCAGTAAATTCATACCTGGACATAGCATAGTTTGATAGATTTCATTTCATGTCCTTCCCTCCTCCCATCATGTCAATTTCCCTTCCACTACACTACTAGTTTCTTATTTTCATCCCACTAATTTTTGATGAATCAGTTTCTTCATGCACCTGTTTGTAGGAGAACCCAGCACCACTGGTGGTATTAATTCTTGTTAGGAACATGAGAGGAGGAGGGGGTTGATAAGAGGGGTGATTGTACTATAAGGGAGAGTTTCAGATTATAAGTGATTTTTTTTCTATAATCTGTGCTCACATTTGATTGGATAATTACAAATTAGTTTGGGGTACAGAGAAAAGATTAGATTATGTTAGTATTGACAGTTGGATAGTGTAACAAGAATTTCTGTTTTATGTTTTTTTTATACTAAATTCCCTTGAATTTTAATCTGTGTGTATTTTTGTCTGTCCTCATTTAGGATTATAACTGGGCAACTTATTTCAGTTAAAAATAAGAAGGGATTGGTACAGATTACAGATAAAAATGCTGCTGCTCTTGTCAGTTCTATCTATTTTTTCTGAAATATGGCCAATCTTTATAACTTTGAATACAGTTTATCACAGTCTGGAAATAGCTATAAATGAGTATAACTGGGCTTTAATTTCATTTGAAGTGATTGACTGATTAACTCCTTGGAGACCTGTTGTTATTTTAGCACCCTCTAATACCTGGATGGTGATACTGGATCCTATGAAGCCTGGTGGACCTTTTGAAATGATGGCACAACAGACTTTTGGGACAAGAAATATTACCTTGAAAGTCCATGATATCTTATTTGGAGATGTCTGGCTTTGCAGTGGGCAGAGTAACATGCAGATGACTGTATTACAGGTAATGTTCCAGAGTAGTAACAATAAATAATATTGATGATAAAGAAGAAAGAAAAGGGTGCAATAAGGAGAAGGAAGGCTGTTTCTGTTTATTAAGTATTTACCATGTGTCAAGATCTGTTAAGTGCCTTCATGTATAAATTAAATTTAACAACCTTAATAAGTAAGTTTGATTAAATTGGCAGTAATTGATTGGCACTAGTATGTTTCTATACTTTGTTTGTTTTAACAGGTTAAGAACTTGGAAATGTTTCTGTTTTCCCTTACTCTTTCTACCAATCTGAGTTTCTTTTCTAGTTTCTTTTTATTTATTTATTTTTTCCTTCCTTCATTATACACTTTCCCATCTTTGAGAAATATTTAAATTTGAGGTTTAAAATCTCTATAATTAGATCATGATCTCAATTCAGCTCTCTTCAAAATTTTTTTAATTTTAGTCCTTTCAGATTAGAGTCTCTTTTTTCTTCTCTAGCTTCTATTCCTTATAATTTCTTCTTAGTGGCTTAAAAAAAAAACCCTATTACTAAATAATGCTATTTGAAAAGATCTCACTCTGGACATATCTACTTCATTTCATCATTAGTTTTCTAATTCAGAATCTAAATTCTTTTTTAATATTTACTTTTTAGTTATAGGTGGACACATATCTTTATTTTATTTTTATGTGGTGCTGAGGATCAAGCCCCGTGCCTCATGTGTGCTAGCGAGAGCTCTACCTCTGAGCCTCAATCCCAGCCCCAAGAATCTCAATTCTTATATTTAGGTTTTCCTAACCAATATTTTATTTTTTATAGTTCTTGCCTTACTTAAATATATGGAAAACTTTTGAATTGAAATGCTTATTAAACTGAATTTTGACTAGACTCTTCAATTTAGGTGAATGGACATAAAATTGAAGCTTTATCTCTTGATAGAAAGCATGATTTTGTATAGAGGAATTGCTGTTAACTCATTGAGGAAAACAGTAATTTCCTTAATGCTCTAATTACAGCTCCATGTTTGCACAGAAAGGCATGGACCAGATCTGTTTGTATCTATATAGTCACTTTCTCAATAGCAGTCTATGCCAAGGAATCCTATCCCATTTTCTGTCAAGCTAAATCAGATCTTGATTGTTACGAGTAAACACACTCTTTCTGCCTAGAATTTACTCTTAAGCATCTTCTGTACTAAGCTAGTGCTATGAGCTCTGAGATGTAGGGGAACAAAAAAAAATTCCATCTGAAATATCCAAGTGTTAATTTTTTATTTTAAACCATGCACTTGGTTTGCAAGACAGAATTTTAGGTGCTGATGGTATTGAAAGCCAAGTTTTCTAGTCTCTTAACAGTCAGTAGAATCTTATTTTTTTGATCAGAAGGATCTATGACTCCCCTTTTATTCTTTTGCTTCTTTTCCCCCTATAGGTCCCCCCCCCCAACCTCCCCCCAAAACATGCATGCACTCAAGCTTGCATCAAACACTGTCTTTCTTTCCCTCCTTCCCATGTGACTTTTCTGAGGAGGTAAAATTCTCACTATAACCTACCACTTTTCACATTCAAAGAAGGAAATGGCAGATTGTATGCCCATCTTGTTGTTAGGGTAAAGTGGAATTTTAAAATTGAATGTTATTTATAACACTGAGTGAGATGTTTATAAATGGAGAAAAATCTAAATGTTCATCTGTTGCCTCCTAAGTCAGGGTAGGTCTTACGACTTGGATATTTCTTGTTAGGCTTAGAAAAAGATGGCCAATATCAGACAGGAAACCCATTTCTCCATAGGTTGTCACTCCCCATATTCTTAGTTTACCAGTAGAGAAATTAAAATCTAGAAAGGAAGGACTGATACCATATCTCAGTAAAAGATTCACAGGAGTTTTGATGACTGGCTTCTTTATAGTTATTATGTCAACTTTAGGATAACTGTATTATGCTATAGTAGAATATAAAGTAACTTATAGAATATCCAGATTCTTTTAAGTCAGTAATTTTCTCTGTGTCCTTCACATGCATGCATGTGCATGCACATGCACACACACATTCACATATGCATGCTCTCACATGCATGCCTTGTTCTCCCATGCAGACCCCATGCCAAGATCCTCTGAGGAAATAGATTCTTGATGTGTCTTCATTAATTCAAGAATGTGGTATAAAGGTTACAAAATGAACACCGGTGAGCAGCTGCTTTGATGGCTAACGGTCTGGTCCCTAGAGAGGCAGCAGTGCTCTCCCTCAGCCTCAGCAGCATTAATGACTTCAAATACCTTGGTCTTCATTTACATCCTCATTTAAATACTTGGTAGAAAAATAATTACACTGAGGTGTTTGATGAGATGAAATCTGATCTCAGCAGATGGAGTAAGGCTTCCCCTTTCATCAGCAGGGAAACCAAGTGTCATTTAAATGAAAATCTTCCTGAAATCTCTTTATTCCTGAGTTTGCTGCCAATATCCCTGAGGAAATGCTTCCATCAAAAAGGCCTAGTAATATTGGGAAAGGCTACCAGTTTCAGAAGTAATTTTCATGAGGTACAGCAGAAAATTTTCCCCCATCCCCATTTTTGTTAACACTTTCTGTGATTTTCAAGTTCTGGCTTGAAATAGTACACAAGTGTGAGTTTGAAAATGGAAGTTTTCCAGGCAATGTTTTGGATCCAGTTCCATGTGCTGGTAACAATACAGGAGAATGCCAGCCACTCTGACTCCATTGGCCTGGCAGTACACTAATTGTTAGCAATGAGTCTAAAAGACAAGTAGCATGTTCTCCCATGCTCCCTCCCCAAGCTGGCATCTCATTGCTATGAGGCGCTTGAGTTCCCAGTCAGTGCGGAAGCTAGTGTGGGTGGAGAGGATGAAAGCAGTTTCATCCACTGTTTCCATGGAAGCAACATATGATCCTTCGTGCTTAGTGCAGAACTGAATTCCAAGGAAGGAGACTTTTTTACAGGTACTTGCTTCTGAAAAATAATTTCCCTGCCAGAATATACTGTGAGTGCATTAGCCTGTTTTTACTTTTGAATGTTTATTTCACATTAACCTTGCCAGGCAAGATCCTGAAGAAATAGGCCTGGATTTCCTGTGGAATTTTACTGAGACTGTATAATCTGTCCTGAAAGTAGGAAGACCAGTTACCTGGACAGGCTGGAGCTGCTGCTACCCAGAAGGCATTTCAGACCAGAATTCCCATTGTGACCAAAAGAGCCATTTCATTTGATTCTGGCTATCTCATTGGCCAGAGTAGGCTCAGTGGCAAGTCAAAAGATGATTCCAGGGGCAGCATATTTCAATGAAATTCTCTGTGGGGGCACCCTGGCTGCTCCATCATTTCTTTTCTACTGTGGGCTGGAGGGCCAGCTGTATTCTCCATGGTGGGTGGGAGGGAGAGCCAGCCAGCTGCACACTCTGTGGCTGGAGGCCAATGGAAAGTATCCCAGCCTTCTGTGCTGCTTGTTGTGGCGGTCCAGACTCAGCTGGAGCGCCTGTTCCCTGGGGCTAATGGTAACTGGTCTTTCTCAAGCTCCTTTGGCCCTTTGTTTTGGGAGAAGCAGGACTAGTTCAGGGGGTTAAGGAAGAGTCAAGAGAAAATACATAACTGAAAAGGTAAAGCAAGATATTGTCTATCTAGTTATTTTTAAAATAAAGGAAAACCTTAACTAAAAAATCAGGATTTAAGGAAATGGCAGTGTATACCTCATAGAGGAATGAGGTTTAATAGGACTAATGAATAAACTACTCAGTATTGTACACATATTTTTATCCAGAAAAGCCCTTAGCCACTCCTGTCATATTCTTGGTAACTGATGAGGATTCATAAATGATTTAGTATAATGTGATATATCTTCTATGTTTAAATTCTTGGGACTGTTCTGAGCTGTTATCCTGAACACCACCTTTCAGGTTGCCATGTACCCATGCTTTTCTCTAGTGATTTTTTTAGCATGACAAGATGAGAATGTATGCACTGTGAGATTGATTCCAGTATGTTTCAACTATCACTTTCCAGGTGTGTTTCTTTTGAATACACTTTTCTTGGATGATATGGATTATATTACATAAATCTACCTCCCCATGGCCTTTTTGGCTCCATATAGGCTCTCTAAGCATCATTTTTTAAAAAGAAGTTACTTGCCATGGCTTTCCATTATCAGATAATTTTTCAGAGCAGAAGTATTTTAGTTTTAAGATACCAGTGGTCTCTACTTACTAGTCAATATGTAGCCTAAAGTACTGCAACCCCCTCTTGTCTATCATAGACCTGCTTCCTAAGATCATTGGGTTCATTACATTCAAATCCTCCTTGGAACATGATTCATCATGGTCTCTTTTAATCAAAGTGGATCAAGGTGGTACAGTCCAGCTCATTACCAGTTCGGGTTATTTCACTTAATTTCAGTATATTGAAGGCTCAGAAGGAACTCAGTGGGTAGGAAGTATTTCCTAAGAGGCGGCAGCCAGTTCACCACCCATTAGGTTAAATAACATTTCAATTTCTCTTCTAGATATTTAATGCTACAAGGGAACTGTCCAGTGCTGCTGCCTATCAGTCTGTTCGCATCCTCTCTGTCTCGCTCATTCAGGCAGAGGAGGAGCTGGAGGACCTTGATGCGGTTGACTTGCCATGGTCTAAACCTACCTCTGGTATGTGAGCACTTTAGCATGTACTGTATGTTAAAGATGGGTCAGTGCTTTAAGTGGAATCTGTAAGCCCCAATGTGGTTCTTATCTATTATTACTGAATTATCCTTTTACTTATTTGTTATTGATTCTTCATTCCATTCCTGATAGTCATGTTTCACTTGTTTTTTTTTTCTCCAAGACTCCAAAAGACCTTTTCCTTGAGGAAAAGACTCTTCCTTTAATTTTGGTGAATATATTGAGGCTATTCAGCATGAGCTGTGCTAGTATCTCTCTCTATTGCCTTAACCCTCTGTTTTCTCTTCCTTCTTTTCTGTGTTTAAGGACAATTGACTGGTATCCTTTCAGGGCTAATTCTGATGGCTCTTACTTCTAGGGCCTTCTCTTATCCCTTAGGCTCAGTTCTCTCCCCCACTGTCTATTCAGCATAGAATCTTTTATTTCATGCCTTCTCAGTGTCAAGCTCTGTGCTAGTCCCCAAGGACACAACAGTGACTAAGATGGACACATAATCCCTACACAGAGTGTAGCCTTTTATTCTAACAAAGAAAGTTGAACATAACACCCTTCTCATGAAGCCTCATCTCTCTCCTTTACTTTTTTATACTTTTCTAGAACATCTTTTGTTTTCATTCTTTTCATGACCTTGCCATGGTTCTTTTATAATCTGGTTTCTGCTTCCATCTCAACAATTTGTTCAACTCAAGGCTACTACTCTTCTCATTTTGAACTCCATAGACCTCTGTGGCATTCAACTCTGTGGATCACCCCTGCTAGAAATTGCATGTTCCTCCTAGCTTGCACGGTACTTCCTTTTTCTATTTCTCCTGTTATCTTCTTCCCTGTTCTTTGCTTTTCTAATACCTTTCTTCAAATGTGGTTCCTGTGTTCTTTCTAGGTCCTTTTCTTTTCTGTCCATATATGCTTTACCTTGGTGACCTCAGTTTCTCCTACATTTTCAAGAGCTAATATATTCAGCAAATATCTAAGTGCCCACTATGGTCGAGGAACTGTTCTAATTGCTGTGGGTGTAGTGGTCAATAAAATAGACAAGAATATCCGATCTTATGGTACTTACAGTCTAGTGTGAAGGAATATGGAAAATGAATAATTAGTAAATCACATATGTAGTATCTGATGGTATTCTGTCTCACACTGTCTGAACTCTCCCCCTATAAGAGCTCTGGAACAGAATGGATTCAGGTTAATTTTTGGGTAATGTTTTTTTTTTGCTTTATGAACTCTTAATATGTGTTATTATGTGTTATCTGAAACTCAGGAATCATTTCCTTTTGCTCTCTGAACTCAGACTGAATAAATTTGGACATCATAGGATAGGTTAGATGATTATGTGTGCTAGTGAGACAAAAGTAATAAACAAAATACATCAGGGAAAGGAGGCCATATGGAAGGATTGGTAGGGAAGGATAGGTTGGGATGGGGTAGTGCTTGCAATTTAGAGTGGCCAGGGGAGTCCCAATTGAAAAAGGTGACATTTCAGTAATAACCTGAAAGAGGCAATGTGGATCTCAGCAGAAAAGCATAGTGGGTCACGTCTCTCCCACAGTTAGAATCTCTTCTTACTCTTCTATTGGCACATTGCTTTGACTTAAGGACTCATATAATTATATTTGATCCAACTGGTTGATCCAGAACACTCTCCCTGTCTCAATCCCTTATCCCTAATCACATCTACAAAGCCTTCCAGCCATGGGAGAGTATGCAGGTTCCAGGGATTAGGCTGTACACATATTTGTGTTTTTTTTCTGTTTGCCATGCATTCTCATTTTCCAGTTGCTTTCCATTTTCATTACTTCAAGATGTAGCTCCAACCTCCCCTCCAGATTTACCTTCACTATTCTCCTTTTTAAATCTCTGCTTCAGCCAAATACTTTCAGATATTTCCTATTTCACATGCTTTTAACACGTTTTTTCCTCCTGCCTAGAATCATAGTTCTGTTATTAAATTTCTGTCTATCCTTCAAGGTCTCTCCACTCCCTTCAGCCCTACTAGTTACTGTTATCTTCTACCTACCCCTCAGTGATCCACCTTAAACCAGCTACCACAGCTACTGAACAACAGCCAATATACAGTTACTGACACTTTATTATGTCCTAGACATTGGTGATACAGATGTGGGGAAGATGAAGACCTACTTTCAGGTGGCTAGTGGTGTTGTGGGTGAGGGAAACACTGAGTGGGTTATTGTAGTGAAATATAGTGATAGAGCTAGGTATTGGGTTTATGGAAGCACAGGGGAGGGGAGGTCAGTCTTTATCAGGCTTTTCATGATCTGACTTTCATTTGACATTTTTTATTTGGTATTAAAATTCCTTAATAACTATTTGTATCTTCTGAGGCACTTAATGTATTTTGCTTTGTATTTTATTCAGCAGAATATTCATCTTATTCTGTAAACGGCAAACCTAAGAAGAGAAGTCTTTTCAGATCTCTTTCTTTGCTATATCTCAACCATCTAGTAGTTCCTGACACATAGTAGGTGCTCAATCAATTTTAACTGATTTGAAATTGATTTGAATTTCTACTATTCTATTATCAACTTTTGGGATTCCAGCATTATACTGTGTTGAATTTGGATCTTCACAGGGCTAAGCCAGGAGGTCTTATGTTGGGTTGACTTGATTCTATCAGTTGTGTGTACATGCATGTTCCCCTCTTTGTCAGCTTTCCTATAACATGGAAATTGTTCACTCTAGCCTGTGTTGGTTACTGGAAATATGGACAAACAGTTTAGATTGCTGAAAATTTAAGCACTGGTTTTCATTTCTGTTGCTTTCCCTTTTGGTCAGACTTCTTATCACTATGTGTCCATGTCTTAATTACCATAGCTATAAAATTGACTATAAAACCACTCATAAAAAATACACATTTCTTTTCTACCTATTGTATCCTTGCTTTTCCCTTCCACGGAGAAAAGTAGAAATGAGTGGCCAGGTAAGAACAAAGGCAGAAAAAAGGATAATATAGGAACCCAGGGGCCTTTGTGCCACTTTTACCCACTAGGAGGAGTATTAACATTCTTAGATTCTAAGGAACCTGAGTAGATGGGGGAAAAATGGGGATACCTGTTTGCCTGGCTGGAGAGTTTTGGCTCCCTGATTATGTAAGTATATTATTTATACTCAGATTGAGAGTAAAATTATTATTCGCCTCTGTGCCAGGCTGAGAGCATTATTTCCTAATTATGGGAAGCATTTTAAGCATTTGAAAAAAATTGAAGACAGATAAAAGAAAACCATCACTAAGGCTATAGTATTCCCTTTGGATAAGATTCTCCTTAGGGAAGGTTTGAGAGATGCTTGGTCTTGGTGCTATATTTTCTCATTGCCTCTCAATCTTATCTTACTTTTCAATGTCTCAGAAAGGTACAGAAGGGATGATCCAAACTCACTCTTTTTACCTAGACCCATCTAGTAGCTGTAGCTCATATTGTGTCCACTTCTTTCCCCTTTTCTACTGTTTATTTGGACAGAAAACTTAGGCCAGGGAAATTTCACGTACATGTCAGCAGTGTGCTGGCTCTTTGGGCGTTACCTATATGACACTCTGCAATATCCCATTGGACTGATCTCCTCCAGCTGGGGTGGGACACCCATTGAAGCCTGGTCATCTGGAAGGTCCCTGAAAGCCTGTGGAATTCTTAATCAAGGGTAAGAAAGAATTTCTCCTGGAAGAAAGCCTACCAGAGAAGTATGTAAGAGAGAAGGTCATGGTCTTTGTTGGGGGGTTAAGTATATGTTGAATGCCCACATATGTGTTGAATGTATGGGATTTCTTCACGCACAGGTGAAGTGTGGTGTCATCACCACCACAATCATCTGAGAACATGCCAAGAAGGAGTTATGGTCCTTTTCCTTAGTAATAGCCATACCTGATGCTTACAGAAAGCTTCCTATATGCCAGGCACTGTTCTAAGTACTTTATATATATATTAATTCACTTAGTACTCAGAGCAACTCCTTGAAGTGTAGAATACTATTAACATCCTATGGATAAAGATGAAGTCTCAGAGAGGTTTAGGAACTTGCTTATGGACATGATTAGTAAGTGGCACATTCTGGCTCCAGTGTGTGCTTCTAACCATTAGGCTGTATTTCCTGGAGAATAAAATAGTGTAGGAACAAATGAATGAAGATGTACTAAAAACTATGTTAATATACTGACTTTGAAAGCCCATGTAGGAAAATCTGGATCAGACAGAATGTCTAGGGGAGAAAGGGCTAGTTAATAAAAATCCTGATACTAATGCCAACATGGAAATGAGCAGGATGTGACATGTTGTCCTGGACACTGGCTGAGTCACTCTGGGAGGAGGATGGACTTTGTTCTTTTTTTTTTTTTCTTCTTTTATTTATTTATTTATTTATTTTTTTATCTCTTTTTTTTATTGGTTGTTCACAACATTACAAAGTTCTTGACATATCATATTTCATACATTAGATTGAAGGACTTTGTTCTTGATAGGGTTTGAGTAAAAGCTTGCCTGAGGGACAGTGAAGACATTAGCTTTGGGCAGAAAGAATGACCTCTAGTAGAATAGGAGGAAGGATCAGATCTAGCACATGGTGGGGGGTGGTGGTCTGAAGTCTAGGCCTTATAGACCTCTGGGGATGGGAAGGATAAGGGTGTGGAGAAGTGGGTGTATTCAGCTACTTGAAGATAAATTCACATACATTTTTTATAAGGAAATTTGAGACTGTTTAAAGTTTTTTTTTAAAAAAATGTTTTTTGACCCAGCAATTTCATTTCTGGAAATTTATCTTAAGGAAATAATTAAGCATGCATGCAATGATTAAGCTAAAAGGAAGATGATCATAGCATTGCTTATAAAAACAAAAAGTTTAAATCAATCTAAGTCTTCATCTATTGAGTAGTAGATAAACTTGTTGCCTGTGTGAGAACTCACAGGGAATCACTTCTCCCTTCTGGTTTCACTCATCTCATTTGGAAATTGGTATGGCCACTCTGAACTCATAGAAAGACACCCTTAACCTAGGAAGAACCTGGAGGTGAAATTCAAAGACTAATTACATATTTTCAAGTGAAACTGAGTAACCAATTTACTTGTATGTTGCTTTCATCAGAAGTTTGTCCCATGTGGAAGTGGATAGATGCCTAGCTTAGGGATCATCATGTGATTAATCACTAGCTTTCTGGTGACATATGTATTTCTCATTGATTATAGGCCCATTCCACAGGATTCTGTAACTGGTCCCAGTGAGCACTCTGTTCTCTGGAATGCCATGATCCATCCGCTACAAAATATGACTCTGAAAGGGGTGATATGGTACCAGGGTGAGTGCTCTGTTTGTTGATTGTCCATCATATAACTAGCTTTTGCTGTGTAACAAACCATCCTAGAATTTAGTGGCTTAATACAATAATTTTGCAATTCTATTTAGTTCACAATTCTCTGGGTTAGCAGTGTAATTCTTTTGTCTGGGTTGCTTCAGCTAATTCCCCCTGAGCTTTCTTACATATCTTTGGCCACCTGGCAGGCCTCTTTCTCAGATCTGTTGACTGGGGCTATGTGCTGGGCACCAGGTTCTCAGGTGGCCTTTCTTCCTTCACAAGCCGGTTCATTTATTATTTGCATAGTAATTTCAGGGGTCCAGTTGCTTCAAGAGAGTGAAGCCCAAAGCTGAAGCACTTTTCAAGTTTTTGCCCACATCACTTTTGCCAAGGCCTCATTGGCTAGAGAAGGTCACAAGGCCACTCCTAAGCACTGTGGGAAGGCTACTTTCTCAAGGCAAGGATAGGGGAAGGGCAGTAATGTAAGCTTAATTCTACTCCAGACTCCTTTCACGATTTTGGCTGCTTTTTTAGGGGAGTCCAATATGAATTATAATAGGGACCTATACAATTGCACGTTCCCTGCACTCATTGAAGACTGGCGCCAAACTTTCCATCATGGCTCCCAGGGGCAGACAGAACGTTTCTTCCCATTTGGATTTGTCCAGGTATGTATTGAGAGGAAGAGGGTTTATGAGCATTGGTGTAGGAGGTGCTATTTAGCTCTCTTCCTGGAATTCATATTCCTTTTTCCCCCTTCATAGTGTGCCAGTACTAGAACTGAATTAAGGCTTAATTCATGAGTTCGTTGATGAGACAATCTTTTTGAAAAAATCAATAAGCAACTGATATATTTTTATTATTAAAAAAAGGTTCTCTGAAAAACTATTAAAGAGATAAGCAAAAAAAGAAAAAAGAAAAGCTATAACCAGTGAGAATTCTATAATCTAAAGATAAGATGACTTGACTTTCTGCTCATAGTTTTGAAAGAGGATCCATTCCACAATACTATATCCTATCTTGCTTTTTATCTTAATGTGCTGTGTCCATTTTTAATGTCAACAAATATTAATCTTTCACACAATTTATAACAATTGCAGAATATTCTGATATATGGTTGTATTGTAATGTATTTACTGAGTTCTTTTTAAAATTTTTTATACTTTAGTGGTATTGAACCCAGGGGTGCTCTACCACTAAGCTACATCCCCAGCCCTTTTTATTTTATTTTGGGACAGGGTCTCAGTAAATTGCCCAGGTTAGTCTTGAACTTATGATCCTCCTGCCTTAGTCTCCTGAGTAGCTGGGATTTTACAGGCATGGGACACTGGACCTGGGTTTGATGAGTTCTTCTTTTTTTTTCCCTTTGTAAAAACTTTTTATTTGTTCTTTTTATTTACAGATGACAGTAGAATTAATTCTGATATATTTGATAAGTTCTTAATAGATAGGTTCTTACTTAGGTTGTTTTCAATGTTTTGCTTTTTATAAGTAGTGGCATATTTGTTTTCTTTGTAGCTGATTCCTTATAGCTTAATTATTTCCATAAGATAAATTCCCAGAAATGAAACTCCTGGGTCAAAAGCTACACCTTTATAAGGTTTTGAAAATATCCCCATTTTTCTGTAGAGATTTATGAATATAAGTTTTTACGTTTAGCATCTTACATGGGATCTTTATATCCTCCCTTACTTGCTATTGTGTATTCCACCCTCCAGAATGTGCCACTCTCTCTCTCGTAGACATTGTCCATGTTTCTTGCCTGGAACAGCATTTCTTTCCCATGTTTTCCTTGCTAATTTTAACCATTCTTTAGGCCTTAGCCTAGATATTAGTTAGTAAACCTTCTGTGACTCTCCAAAGTCTGGTGTTGGATTTCCTCCCCCATATAATGTGTTCTCTTAGCACCCTTTACTTCTCCTTTTTATTTTTACTTGCATATAAGTTGTGCACATAGCCATATTTTCCTGGATCACATTTATTATATTCCTAGTATCTAGTTGGTTGGCACTCATTTAATAATGTCTTAATACACGAAATGAGAAAATCAAGACATACCATATTTTTGATTAGAGGTAACTAGTTTAGAAATATTTGCTTTCAGCCTTGGAAAAGGAATAAATATATTTGACCAAATTCATAATTAATTTGTATTAACTGTTCATATGACCCAAGATCTGATGTTTTAGAAGGGTGGTAGTTCTGGCTTTTTTGGAACATAGGAAATTAAACACATAAAGTGTTATGAAAACAAGCTCTAACTTACAGTGCAGTAGCAGAGATAGATTTACAATATGAATGGGACATATATAGTTTAGACATTTGCCTCCCTGAATCCCACAAACACTTTTCTTCTTACCATTCTCCCATCTCCTCCACCTTGTCCTGATTTATTATATCTCCATCCATTTTGTTGTGGTTATGGGGATTGAACTTAGAGGTACTCTACCACTGAGCTCACTAATTTGCTGAGGCTGGCCTTAAACCTGTAGTCCTCCTGCTTCAGCCTCCTGAGTTGCTAGGATTACAAGTGTGTGCCACTGAGGCCTGCCCTCATTTGTTTTCGAGTAAAGATTTTTTATAGACCTTCTTTCCACTTAAAATGTTTTTGTGATTATTTCTTTTTTCTTACATTTTGACTTTGAAACAAGATTCTCATTTTCCAAACAGCAGCTCCTGCTACCAGTTCTGTATTACTGTATTTTTTCTCTCTTAGTCTATGTATGTGGTAATTTGAACATGATTTGAGTAATTCAAACCAAAAGTATATATTGAATACTAATTAAATAACTGTGAGGTGCTAGAAATATGTCACCGAGATCCCCTTTATGTTTTTTAGTTTACAAGTTCTTAACCTCCAGGCTTTAATTTTATCATCACTAACACAAATATGTTGGTTACTCGTGGAAAACTGGAAATATAAAAAATATATTTCTTTAAAAAATATGTATATATGTGTGTGTGTATATATATATATATACATACATATCTACACACACATATCCACACACACACACACAAACATATATTCAAAAGGAAATATCCAATCTGACAAAAATAATGGTTCAGAGCCTGGGTCTAGAGCTAGACGGCCTGGATTAAAATTCCAGCTCTGATACCTTAAGTTTTGTGATTTTGAATAAGATATTGAACCTCTTTGTTATTTTAGGTATTAAATAACTTAATTCATGTAACCTGGCATAGGCCAGATAATTTTAGTGTTTATTATTATTTGAAGATATCAGAATGAGGGGGCAGTTGTTCTGTTAGGAGGGATTAATTGGCTTTATAGAAATATTTAGTTTGAAATGATAGTTGCAATAATGAGATACAGACCTTTGGCTCTATGGAGAGACCAGGGCTACATGTGTATTGAAGAGTTATTGGTAGAGAGGTTACCAGAACATGAGAGAAAGATGAGCAGAAGGCTAGGACCTGGATCCTTAGGGGTATGCTTTTTAAAAGGGGGTTTGTAGGAACAGACTACAAACTGCAGTGTTATTTGTAAAATCTTAATGTGGTCAGTTTCATATTCTTTGGCTGGCATATGCATTCATTAGTGGCACAATATTTCTACTAATCATAGTGGGAGACTGAACAGTGCTCTACCTTATCTCAGATTAGGAAAAACACAAGAATTCATCTGGGTGTGGAGTATGCTGGTGCCCCCAGGTGGCCAGTGCCAAGTAATGCAGTCAATTAAATAATAAACAATTGCTGCAGAAATTCTCTGCAAACTGCCATTTTGGGAAAAGACTTTTGTGTCTCATTGAGCTTCAGGCTACTACTTACTACAGACTGTTTCTGGTGGCTTTGCTGCTGTGATTCTCATGGCAGTAGCTGGTGAACATGGCTCTGTTTTCAGTCTTGGGGTGTTTTGTGGAAGAAATAGGGTGACTCACTGGATCTTTTCTCCCTTTTCTAGTTTTCATGAGATTCCACTGTGAAGCTCCAGTGTCCTTTATCATTTGACATGGAAAGACGGATTTGCTTAGGAGAATTTTAATAAGAGCTGAAAAATCCCCTTAGTTCCATGTCATAGCCAAGACTCCTTCCTGCTACTGTTGCAACTTGTCCAGGTTTTCCAGTCTTTCTGGATCCACTTGGAAAGTAAAAACTTCTTTTCTTCAAAGCTTCATTGGGCCAAGTTTATACAGATGATGTAGGTATTTCCTGGGCTATGTGAGCAAAATGACGGTGCAAGAGTCTGTTTATAATGCAGTGCCCCTGATGGGGTCAGAGATTTTGAAATGGAGTCAAAAGACAATGTGGATACTAGCCCAAACTAAACTGTTCCCCAATTTGGGGTCTGATTTATCATTAGAGTATGGTTGGTGAGAGAGAGACAGAGAGAGGGTAGGTTGGTGCCTTTCGTTGGCTGGAACTAGGGCTAATCTCATCTGAGATTTGAGGTTCTCTTATAAGCTCACATGACTGTTGGTGTAAAGAAACAAAAGGAGACAAAGGCAAGATGCAGAGGCAAAAATGGCTGCTTGTCTAAGGGGCTGGTTTTATTCACAACACTAGATTACATTAGGTCACTGGCACCATGAGTACATTATTGTTTATTATATCATTAAGTAGGTTTACAGTAGGTCACAATGTGAGATGTTTTTGCTTATGATTAGATATGTGCTCTGGTGAGGCATGCATTGGTTATCTCAGTGGTTCCTGGGAAAAACAGCAGAATGGTAGAATTCATTTCTTTGAAGTTACACAACTCATGGTAGCTTACTTCTTGGAGGTCAGCAGGAGAGAGTCTCTTGACTTCTAGACCCTCTTTTAAAGGGCTCCCCTGACTAATTTAGGCTTACCATGATACTTTCCCTTTTGATGATCTTTAAGTCAACTGATTAGGGAACTTACTTACATTTATAGAATCCCATTATCTTTGCCATGTAACATAACATAATCATGGGAGTAAACTCCTAGTGCTTTTGCCATGGTTGTCTGTTGGTTAAAAGCAAGATATTATATAAGGATGGGTCATTACATGTCATCTTTGGATTCTGCCTAACACACCCAGATATCCTCATATTGTCCTCTCTTACCTCTTCCTAGTCTTTGTTCAACTCGTGTACTCTCCTCTTTTCCTTATTTTTTTTCCAGTGCACTTATCACTTTTTCATATGATATACAATTTTCTTATAATGTCTATTGGTTTTCCCTCCCCACTAGAATGCAAGCATGGGAAGTGATTCTTATGTATTGTTCGACACTCTGTCTCCTGGGCCATTATTAAAGCTTGACACTGAGTAGGGGCTCAGTAAACTTTTGTTAAGAAAATTAATGAATAAATGAGATGACTGATGTTATATGAACTGTTGATCTTTCACAGGCTTCTTTTGGAACAACGTCATTCCACAGGTATTCTGGTACTGCTTGCCTTAGATCCTAAGCAGATGTCAAAGATTCCAAGTGATGGATTTAATCCTTTCTCTGGTGCCTCATATTCAGTTGGCTGTATGGCTTTGTCAGTTTGTCTCATTTTTAATCCCATTCCTACTAGAATCCCTTTAGGTTAGATCTTTGTCTTTTGTGCCTAGAATGTTGTAGTAAGTCAGCTTTCTGTCACTGTAAAAAATACCTGAGATAAGTTAAATGGAAGAAAGGATGGTTTTAGCTTACTGTTTCAGACACTTCAGTACATGGCCACTTGGTTTTGTTTGGGCCTATAGTAGCACAGTACATCAAGCAGGAAGCACGAGGTGGAGGAAGCCTGTTCACCTCATGGTGGCTAGGAAGAGAGAGGAAGGTCTGTTGTCCCAATATCTCCTCAAGGGCATGCCTCCAGTAACTTCCTCTTACTACCCCCACCTCCTACAGGTTCTATCACTTCCCAATAGTGCCACAGGCGAGGGACCAAGTCTTTAGCACATGGGCCTTTAAAGGATATTCAGGATATAAACTATAATAAATATTATGGTAGCTACTTGACTAATCAGTCTGTTAATCATTATATTAATCTTTTAAAATGGTCCTTTAATTACCTTAATAATTTCAGTGGTGAACTATTGAAATCCATGTAACTTTAACCATTTCAAAGTGTTCAATTCAGTGGAATAAAGTACATTTACAATGTTGTACAACTCTTATCTCTACAATAGTTCCCAATAGCTTACAGAATAAAGTAGGGTCTTTCTACACACTTGCCTGGTTATCCTTCCAATTTTGTCTTTCCATCACCAACATCTCAGTACTGCTAAATTGTACACTCTCAAAACATCTCCTTATAAGGTTCTAACATTTGATGTATGAGCAGCACTACTTGGAGGAACTTCTCATATTTTTCTTACATATTCTGAGGCCATGTTTTCCTATAATAATAATCTTGGTCTACTCAAAATGTATAGCTCTTGCTGTCTGGGCCATCACTGTTATTATTTATTCCATAGTATTTTATGATATTGTTCATTAACATTTCTTACATTTATTTCTTATGTAATATGTCTTCCCAACAGAGCTTTAGTTTTTATATTAGCTAGTTATTGTCCTGTAGCAAATTACCTTAGAACTTCATGGCATGGGATGATCTTTACTATTATAGCTTGTGTGTTTGGGAGCTGGGGTGGGCGATATTGGCTAAGCTCCACTGAGTTCTTTCTGATCCCTGTGGCTCTGCTCCAGTTGGCTGGAGTGGATTAGATGGGCAGCTCTGCTGCATAGCTCTCATCCTTCTTCACAGAGCAGTAGGCTAACTCAGCCATGTCCTTTTCTTGATGATGGTAGAAGTGTAGAAACATAAGTGGATCCATGCAAGGTCTGTTGGAGAGACCAGGAATCATCACACCTTAACCGGTGCTTCTGTCTATTGGTCAAAGCAAACCACACAGCTGAGCTCAGATTCAAGGGGTGGGGAAATATATTCTTCTTCTTAAGGGAGGAATTGCAAAGCCACATGGCAACATGGAGTGGGTATAAGGTTTTTCATGGAAGGTACCATACACTAAAGAGCACATGCTTTTCTTTTTCTCCAGAAGGCCTAGCCCTATATTATATACAGATGTATCAATTGCCTATTGCTTTGCAATAAACTACCACAAAATTTTAAAATATCCATTTTATTTCCAGGATTACTCTTTGTTCCATGTTTGTCAGTGATATCAGCTGGATTCACTCAATATGGCTGAGTTTGACTGGAGGATCTAGAATTAACATAATGAGTTGCTTAGCTGAGATTGAAGGAACACTAGAGTCTTTCTATGTTCATGGTCTTTCATGAAGATCATAATATTTTCTGCATAATCTGTCTTACAGGGTAGCTGGACTATTTTTCCATGGCCAGTGGATGGTTCCAAGAGAGTCAATCAGAAGCTAGGTCTCTTAGGGCAAAGACTCAGAAGGTGTATATCAATTCTGCAGCATTCTGTGGTCAGAGCAAATCACAGGGCTGGCCAAAATTCAATGAGAGGAGAAATAAGACTCTTGAGAGAGGTGTGGCAAGTTGCATTGTAAAAGGATATGTGAGATGAGAGGAATCATTGCTTCCATCTCTGGAAAGACTCTACTACAACAGAAACTAGTAAACACTGTTGAATGAGCTTTTGGATAAACAAATGAAGTAAAAGCAGAGTGTGCCAGTGAAAAAAACTCCAGTGAAAATTCAGATGCAATAAAAGTTAACAAAATCTTTACTTTCCAGTTATCTTCATATTTATCTAATGACAACTCAGACGATGGATTTCCTCAGATCCGCTGGCATCAAACAGCGGATTTTGGTTCTGTCCCTAATCTAAAGATGCCCAACACTTTCATGGCTGTAGCTATGGACCTTTGTGACAGGAACTCACCTTTTGGCAGGTATGGGTGCTTCTTGGTTTTGTTTGGTGAAAGTTCTTTGCCTATAGTCTTTCACTCTGGTGTTCACTTGTGAGGGGATGGATTGGACTAGGATTGGAGCTTACATGTCTTATATATAACTTATTTATGGTAGGTTGTGTTGCAATAACAAAATCCCCCTGAACATCTCAATACCTTGATGCAAGAAAAATTTATTTCATGCTCACACTTCATGTACAAAGAAGGTCAACAGAGACTTTGCTCATTGTAGTTACTCACAAACCCAGAGAAACAGAGGTTCCAAATTGATCTGTGCTTCCATAGTCACCTTAAGTTTCACAGTGGCATTTAAGTGCTTCCATCTAAAAGCAACATAAGTCACTTCTGCTCACAGTGTACTGGCCAAACCAACCCAAACCAAATAATATGGTCACAACTAGCTTCAGTGAGAGCAGGCCATGGAATTCTAACATGAACAGTTCCAATGAATACTACACACCAGTTGTAGGATGCAGAGATATTTCAAATATAAAATGAAGTCCAGCACATAAAGTCTAGATTGTTGTAGGAACTTGATATTTACTGAAAGAACAAATAAAAGCTAGAGAGGACCAAATATAATGAACAGTTGATTCAGATGAAACACTTTTTTTAAAAAAAAATTTTTATTATTGATGGACCTTTATTTATTCATTTGTTTATATGTAGTGCTGAGAATCGAGCCTAGTGCCTTACACATGCTAGGCCAGCGCTCTACCAGTGAGCCACAACCCCAGTCCCAAAATACTACTTTTAGTGACTGGAAATAGCCTTATAATAGCTGTTCTGGGTTAGTTCCAATGCCTTTGCTCTCTCCATTTATTCCTTCCTTCTAAGCCATCTATTGCTTCAAGGATTCTGAACCTGCCGCAGTCTGGCTGGGCACAAAATCACGAGCCACTCACAATCTTGTAGATTCAAACAGCAATTCTTTATTCCCGAACTCACACCGGCACTCTACACGCACGTTCTGGGGAAATCCACACTTCCACTGGGCTCTGCATCCCAAAATACTCTCTGAATCTCCGAGAACTCAACGGGAACTCAAGGAGCAGGGAACTCAAGGGGCAGGCGGGCGCCTGAGGCAGCAGGATACGCCCTATTCCCAGCAGGGCCCACCTTAAACCTGGAACCGCCCTAAACCCAAGGAGCGGGATACTCCCTATTCCCAGCAGGTTACACTTAAACCTGGACCCACCCTAATCCAGCAGGATCCTCCCTAAACCCAGATCCACCCTGGTCCTTGAGCAGGGTCACCTTTCATGCAATGTCACTGCAAATGACCTGGGTCCAAGGCAAGCCCATTTCCACAATGGAGAGTCCTCCCTCTAAGCAACATGGGGTAGGCTGACAAGGAAATTGCCATGCGTCATTCTTACTTAGCTATGGCTCTCAGCATGAACCCATAGGAAGCCCAGAGCCTCATCTATAGTTTCCATTTAACATTTCTCTTAAGGTGACTAGCTGGTGAGCACTGAGTTTAGGCAACTCATTCTTACCTTCTTAAAGGGTGCTCTGTATAATCTCTTTTGAAAAAAAAAATGTGGTTATTGTTAAGAACCCAAAGGTCTCTACTTTCCTTTATCCTATAGCATCCACCCTCGAGATAAAGAGACTGTGGCCTATAGGTTGCTCTTGGGGGCTCGTGCTGTGGCTTACGGTGAGAAGAATTTGATCTTTCAAGGACCACTGCCTGAGAATATAGAACTCTTGGCTCACAAGGGACTGCTCAACCTCACTTATTACCAGCAAGTCCAGGTGCAGAGGCAGGATGACAAAATATTTGAGGTGAGAATAGCAGGAAAAACAAAGGGGGTGGGATTCATTTTGTCAGGAGTCAAGAGCTCTTTATATGCATGTTTCATTACAATGTAACCACGTGGCAGATCTTGGATAGTTATGGGTGGGGGTTGGCCTTATCTGAGAGAAAAGTAAGCAGCTATTAATTCATTAATTTAGAGGCAATTTTGATGGTATAATCAAGGGAAAACAAGGTCCCTATTAAATGATATATATTTTTCATATTTTCCCTCACAGAGCAACCCTTTTTTCTCAGGGTAGGGTTTTATTTTTAGGTTACCTACTGAGAGATTCTGGCTCCAGTAAATTCCTCTCACCCTTGGGTGTCTTTTTTGTTTTATTATGCTAATTTCAGACATTCTTTAAATCTGGTGTCTCCCTTGAAAGGCTTAAGCTTGATAAATTGTAACTTAGTATGAATTAATGTAACAAGACTATTTTTTTCCTCATACCTAGCAAGGATCATTCTGCAGTGGAATTGGGCTATTGATTAAAGAGGGTAATTAGGAGTCTTAAGTAGTTGAGTGTACAGGGTAGAGGCATTCCTTGGTGGAATGTTTAAATGATTGTCTTGGGGGAATTTTGAGGTCATTAGGCTAGGAGAAGGTGTATGAAAATATGGCAACAGAGGAGGTGAGACACTGTTAGACTTCACACATGGGTTTATCTAGAGCTACAGCTTCTCCAGAGTCTTAACTATATTATCTATCTGTCTCAGATTCCTGGTCAGCACTTGTCCCACTTTGCTTCTTGCTATGCTAGGTTTAGTTGGAGTTAGAGACTCAAGAAAGCTATAGATTCTGAGTTCTCCTCTTTGTCAGTTGTTGGCTGTCTGCCTATTATCTGGCTCTGGAACCACACAGTAGGGTCAGGGAAGAATTTAACTGTGGGTCCTGGATAATTTATGTTCCCTTTTCTGGATTGCCTTTGGACTTAAGAAAGGCACAGTGTCCAAAGTTCCTTTGTGCCCTTCCTTAGTGTGCATCTCCTCTGGGAATGCCAGGGAACAGCTGGGCTGCTTTGAAATCTCACAAGAGGGACCACCAGAAGGATGTTTAGGGGTGTCTTTCATAAATGCTTTATGTGATTATGCTTCTTTGCCTTCCTAAGTTGATATTTTATTTATTGATTTAAATTATTCAATCACATGAACATCTATTTATTTTATGCCCCATGTATGCCAAGCAGGTGCTCTTCAAGCCAGGACTACATTATCAACTTGTGGTTTTGTTAACCACACTCAACCTGGACTAGGTTCTGGTTATTGTAGGAAATGGGTTTTAGCTAAGCTGTGCTCTTTCCCTCCCTACTAAGTCTGTCTGAAAGAGTAATTCCCAGTTTCTTCAAACACTCTAATTGATCTATTTCTATTTTCTAACTCTTATTAGATCTCATGTTGCAGTGACCATCAATGCAAGTGGCTTCCGGTTCCTATGAGCACTTTCTCCACCCAGACCCTGACCTTGGATATCAATTCTTGTTATGGCACTGTGGATGCTCTTCGCTATGCCTGGACCTTATGGCCCTGTGAATATAAGCAGTGTCCACTATATCACCCCAGCAGTACCCTACCAGCTCCTCCCTTCATTGCCTTCATCTTAGACCAGGTCCCTGGACATTAGAACAAGATTGCCAAATGACAATTAGATGCAAGAGTGACTTTTAGAATTTGGCATTTGGAAGTTTAAATGATGACAACTGTTACTTTTAAATGAAGACATTGATAGAAAGCCTTGTTGAACAATTCTCAGCTATCATGAGGCTATTTTTATATTCTTAGAAGTGCCATGGCTGGTGGGCAACTTCAAATGCTTGTGTTTGTCTCCTGGTTAGTCTGAGCCTCTGTCTTGGGCTAATTCTGAACTACAACCAAATTGAACCTCAGTGTCATTCACTTTCTTCATTTTTTTGGGAGTGAAATGTTTTGATACTTTTCCTCCCAAACTGTCTAATCTCAGGGTTAGAAGAAAATCTTAAAGGCCATTTAGGCTAGGTTTCGTGTGTTCTTTACAAAACCTCCGACAAGTGATTATTGACCCTTTCTGTGAGAAATTTTGTTTTCCAAAAGTTTTTCCTTATGTGATAGAAAAAAAAACAAACCAACCAGACACTTGGGCAGTCATATTGGAAAGTGCCAAGGGTATGCCTTAAAGAATGGAGAGAAACAGCTGTGGTAGGAGCTCAGTGCAGGCACATGGTGATAGTTACAGCAGGGATAGAGGAATCAGGACTAAGACAAATAGAAGTAAAGCTAACTGAGGCAAATAGGTCATAAGAATTAAAACTGAGTCTCAGGCTTTTTAGAGGTAAGAGTTTAACTAAGGATAATCCACCTGGAAGAAAAAAGTTAGCTTGAAAGAAAGCTACATGATAATCCTACAGAAAAATAATGCGGATGGGATAAATATGTAAGAGGGCTTTTGTGTGTATGTACTATTAAGAATCATGGGGTTGGGGTTGTGGCTCAGAGGTAGAGCGTTTGCCTAGCATGGGCAGGGCCCTGGGTTCGATCCTCAGCACCACCTAAAAATAAATAAAAAGAATCATAATGCAGCTTACTGGTTGGTTAAAAACAGATATATGGCTCTTGAAAACTATATTGATTTGGGAATAAAATTATTGTGATTAGTGATGTATATCTTTTTATAATCAGTCAAAATTATGTTAAGAATGGACTTAAAAGAATTACCATTTAATGTGAAAAATGAATACTACTAATGCAATAAGCACTATTTTCTCCACATCAGCCTTTCAAGGGATTCTAGTGCTATCCCAAAGAGTAGGAATAGCTTTATCAATGTCAAGATTTTATTTGGTAAAAGATCTTAAAAAAAAAAAAAATTTGCACTCTGCTAGGAAGTTTGGCTCCTCTTGAGGATTTCCTAGTGTAAATTAACTCTTAATGCTTATACTTTGACCTCTTATGCATCTGGCCCCATGGGAACCACAATGCTAGTAACAGAGAGGTTCAAAAGAAAAAGTCAGGTTACTATCTACTCCTCACCCAGCCCAGTGTGTAGGGCATGATGTAACATGGGGCATGTTGCATCAGAACAGAGGAAACTTAACTTGCTGGCTGCCACAGGCTTCCCAGACCTGGGGCCACATGGGGCTAAAAGCGCCTGGCGATTAGCCAGAAGGCATTGCCATGGGTTGTGATGAAAAATTGGACCACCTCTAGGATAGGCTCAGAACCCTTTTGCCCTCATGGACAGTTCAGGTCTCCCATTACTGCCTGTAGGATGGGTGTACACGTGAACTCTCCCCACCCTGCTGACCTTTACCCTGATTGGCTCCTGTACATTATATTAGCTGTGTGTATTTTCTCAATAAACGAGATCCTGCTTTGACTGTTCTCCCTGGCGTGTCTGATTGTCCTCCACGTCTGGGCATGCTCCCCCAATCTCTCCTGCAGGTCAGGAGGGAAGGAGGGAAGGAGGGAAAGGGGGGAGCGGGGGAGGGCTAAAAACCCCCAACACAGTGCACTGATACTCACAGCCTCACGGCTATTCTAATTTGAAAGTAGCCTGCAGCTGTGAACTGATCAAGATAATCAATAAGTCATAGATATAGGTTATAGGTATAAAGCAAGATAGAATAGATAATCAGTATGCAACAGACATAGATTAAAGACTATAGGAATAAGGTAAGATAACAGATAAGCGATAGTAAGACATAAGTTCATCAGGAATAAACCTAAATAATAGTAGAAAAATCATGTTACTGTAAAACATAGGATTTAAGTCATAGGATAAGTCAGTGTGTCAGTTTAGTTATAAATAAATATAAGCAAGTAGGTTAATATAGATAACGTTAGATCAAGTTGCTATGTTAATCTAATCTTGTAGCCAGAGTTTATAGATATTAGTAAAATGACAGATGAAAATGTGTATGTAGGCCATAAGATAACTGTAGTTTTAAGTAGGCATCAAATAAGTTACTAGTACTGAGTGTATAAAGCAATTGCTCTGGTAGAGACTCATTAGTCATTTGCAACAATTCCCGCCTTTCTGGGATTACGGGAATAGGGTCATTGTAGTCATTTGAGTAAAAAGATGTGACTATAGAAACTCCATCTTAGTTTCTTTGTAACTGTCCCTGTGAAGAGAGAACTGCATGACCCATTTCTAGGAAATAGAAACTAAAGCTCTTTTCTTATAAAAAATTGCCACACTTTGTACCCCACAAATTATACCCTGCTCAGGATGCAGAGGTAGTGAGCTGCATCCTGGATTTGAATGCCCTTATGGGTCTACATGACTTTGAAGTAGATTCTTGCCCCGCCAACCCCCACTCAAGTTCAGTGTATGACTGTCTAGCACCTGCTTGAACCTGGGACTGTGGTCAAGTGAACCGTAAAGCTAATGCTTTTTTAGCTTCTGTTTATCGCTTGCTTGCTGACTGGAAAAGTCCAATCCTGCCTAGAGCCCACAAATCCCACTTATTAATGTTTTAATTTCTGTGATTGGCTAGCTTACATGACAATAAGCAAGTCCCTGAGTTGTGGTTTTTGTGCTTATATTCTCCTTGGTTGGGCCAGGAAGCTGCTGTCCTCCCAGAGCTTGAGTCTCTATAGTGGGTGATAGTCCCTGGCCAGGTAAATAAAGCTCTATTTGATTTGAAATTCAGATTTAGAGTGGTTTCTGAAGTGGCTCCTCATAACACAGGCAGGAACTCTAAGCCAAAGTTCCTTAACACCCAGTCACCTTGTATACACAGGGTAAAAATTTGGTTTAGGTAATTTATATTAATGAAGCCACATGTAAATGAATTTTAGTGGTTGAATAATTTAAAACATTCTGTAGGAATTCAGTATATTTCCCCCAATGAAAAGAACTTTTTACTGTTTGAAAATGAAGTAATCACTGTAGAAGATTTGGACTACTGAAGAAAAGCACACAGAAAAATCATCCCCAGATCATTAAGAGGGAAACACAATTTTGGTAAACATGCACTTGATTTGTTTGGCTTAAATATTGTACACTATGTAGTATATTCTTTTGTAATCTGTTTTTAATTTATTCTACCAAAATTTTCTGATGCAAATAAAAATTTACAGTATTACAGCTGTGGATCCCTATACTTTATTTAACCAATTTCCTAAAATAGGCATATGGATATTTTAGAAATCTGCATTGTTATACATACAAACATCATACCTCACTTGTTCAGTTATTTCTTAGGGTTCTTAACATGAGTAACAGGTTAAAATGTATGTTTAAAATTGTGATACCTACAAGCTTAACGCTCCCAAAGGATGAAACAATTCACATTCCCACCAAGGTATTTTTTCCCACCCCTTATTGACATTAGATGTTGTCAAATTAAAAATATTTTAACAATTTGGTAGATGAAAAGATACTTTAAATACATTTTGGCAGTGTTTTCTAAGTTTTTAAAAAACCTCGGTACATAGCAAAAACATTTAATATTATTTCACATATCCCCATACATATTTGTAAATATTTATATAAATACATATATACAATTATAATTGAAATCAAATCTTTTTCCATGTGATGTGTTTCAATATGTTCTATTTTATTTTAAAAAAAGTAGGTGTTGACTCTTTAAAATTTATGAAAAACTAATGGGTTGATTGTAATTTGAAAAACAGTTCTGGTAAACTTGTACTAATTTATTAAAATAATTTAAATGTCTAAGATGAGATTCTCTTTTAGGATGTGTTTTACTCAGGCTGAAATACCATAGAAAAACATTTGCTATTTGATAAAAGCAGCATCTATTATTTTGGTATAAGTGCAAATATGCTCCAGCAATTTATGCAGAGAAACAAGATAAAACACTAAAACATCTCAACAGCTTTGATCCCCTCCCAACTGGATTTGCTACTATTCAAGTTTTACACTATTTATTTTGCATTTTAAAAGTTATAGAACTTCAGTCACACAGTTGCTGTTCATTTGTAGAGGCCAGTTTGCTGTGCTCTCAACACTGCTCCTTCTGATCCCTCCCCCTGCTGGTCACATTTATTACTACAAAATGCCAATCCCATTCATTGTCTTCAGTTGGTAGTCAGGCAGTACAGCATGTGAACAATTCATTCTCACCACTGCTTCCCCATTCTACTTCTGATCCTTTCATTTCCAGACATCCCTGGGCACCTGATGGATGGGGAGCTAAGGAATTCCATAGATAGTGTGGAGTTGTAGTCATTAGAGATAGTTAAGCCTCTAAGTAAGGCTATATAAGCAATGTCCAAAGAATTCAGTTGTATAGAATGCAGAGTTATATAATTAGATGGCTAAAACAAAATGATGGGTTAAGTGAAATGAGGATGGAACTAATCCCTGATTATATCTGAATGTGTGTAATCATGTGGTTTCAACTGAGTTAAAAGCACATTCTCCTAGCCTCAGTAACTTAGTGAAACCCTGTCTCAACAAACAAACAAAAAGGGCTGGGAACGTAGCTCAGTGCTTAAACGATGTTCAAGATATGAATGTATCCTGGATTGGACTTTGCAACTTGAGTACAAGCAGAGGATCTGTTTGTCAATACTGCCATGAGCAGAAAGCAGGAGCCTGGGTTGTAGGGGCTAGGGGATTTGGGAGTCCTCAACTGGGATCAAAATCAAGAGTGGAAGGTTGCTAGAATCTTATCTCCTTCACAAATTAGTAGCTGTTAAAGACTCAAAATCTGGGGCTGGGGATGTGGCTCAAGCGGTAGCACGCTCGCCTGGCATGCGTGCGGCCCGGGTTCGATCCTCAGCACCACATACAAATAAAGATGTTGTGTCCACTGAGAACTAAAAAAATAAATATTAAAAAAAAAAAAGACTCAAAATCTGTATTAAATCATAAATTAAATCCTAATCTCTCAAATGAGATAATATTAGGAATTAGGGTGTTCAGGAGAGGATTAAGTCACGAGGATTCTGTATAGTGTCCTTATAAAAGGGTCCCGAGATAGTTGCCTTGCCCCTTCCATGATGTGAGGCTATAGCAAGATGGCCATCTATGAACCAGGGAGCTAGCCCTCACCACTGACTCTGCTAGCACCTTGAACTTAAAGACTTTCCAGCCTCCACAACTAAGAGAAATAAATTTCTGATTATAAACTACCCAACCAATGGCATTTTGTAATAGCAGCTGAACAGTCTTTCACTCTGATTTTTAAGGAACTGAAGTTTATATCAGGAAAAGCTAAACAAAAAAGATTATGTCCTGATTACAAGAAGAGAAATATGAGCAAAATTGTCAAGAGAAATTTATTACTAAAAATAAATCAACACAGTTTTTCCAGGGTAACCTGTCACCATAGAAACTTCTATGACAAGATAATGTCTTCTTTACTCCTGAACTGCTGCCTTCTTCCATATATTCTAAATTTTAGTTTAAGTTAAAAATCCATCCTGATGAAAACGATGTGGACTCTGATCCCTCTTTGTTTAATCTGAAGATTGAACTGGATTGCACTGTGATGGAGACTTCAGGTGTTGCAGGTGAGTATCCACCAAGGGTCCCTGTGTCAGGAACCCCGGCTGGTAGGATGACACAAAGGCTGCAGGTTGAAGCTCAGGGAGCTCCAAGGATCCTGGAGAAAGCAATTTCTTAAATTCTACTACTGCTTGGAAATCTTAGGAGAGTGTGTAGGCACATAAATAGCCTTTTAATTCCTTAACACCCTGGCATCTATCAGTCCGATTTTTCCCTTGGTTGTAAAATAGGACAGATGTTTACTTTTATCATGAAGAAAACTGAAATAGATGAAGTTGTTTGCCTACATACATATAACTCTATTATGATCTGAATGCCTGAATACCTGACTGATGTTCCCATTTGTGGGAAGCAATCCAAGTAACATCAGTAGGACCAAGGCCATGAGGTGAATTCTTTAACTTCATTTGAAATTTTACTCCCTGTACAGAAACCTTCCCCTGGTGTTCCACTTAGGTCTTACTTAGGTTATAGAATGAGACACTGTAGTGGTCCACAAAGGGTCACTCAGAATGTCCTGCCTTTTGCAATGACCACAGGTGCTTCCTGTGACTTCTGTGAGTAATTTGGGAATCCAAGCAGGCCTCATGTTCCCCTCTGACTCAGTACCTTTCATGGTTAGATCAGTGAAAGCTTACATCACTTACTGCCTAGATATATGGAATACTCAATAATGGGTGCAGAGGGGATAGTATGTTCAAACCAGAAAGGAGAAGGTGCTGGTATTGTGGCTCAGTGGTAGAGTGCTTACCTAGTACATGTGAGGCACTAGGTTTGATCCTTAGCACCACATATAAATACATAAAAAGCTACTTTATCCCACCTGAAACTAAAAGAAAAAAAATACCTGGTAGAATGGGATCATTATGCTCTTCATCAAAGGTCTGTCTCTGAAAGGCTTCAAAACTCACAGCTACATCATTCTCTGGGAGTCCCTGGGGTAGCTGCCCCTCTCCAGGTTTGCACACATCAAATTTCACCCACTGGTAACTGTAGGATCAAAGGGAAATCAAATTTGTCTGCTTCTAATAATCCATTCCTACCTCCAAGGCCTCTCCTATGTATATCTAAAAATATATTAGCCAAAGGGGGAAAAAAGTAAAATAGGCAGGCTTCTTTAGTGATACATTATTCTGCTAGTCTTCTCATCCTTTTTGCTGTTATAGTACACAAAAAATGATGCAAGTTAAGCATCCCAAATCCCAAAATATGAAATACAAAATGCTCCAAAATTTGAAACTTTCTGAGTACCCAGATAAGTCAAGAGTGAAAAATTCCACTCCTATTATGTGATAGGTCACACAGGTGCACAAAACATACTGTATAAAACTGCATTCAGACTATGTGTGTAAGGTGCATGTGAAACATAAATGACTTCTATGATTAGGCTTGTGTTCTATGTCCCAAATATCTTATTGTGTATATGTAGATACTCGAAAACACCTCTGGTCCCAAGCACTTTGGATAAAGGATATTGAACCTGTAATAATTAAGTCCAGGGGTTTCTGGCTCTGCTCCCTAGAGGCTAAAAGGGTCAGTGATGAAGCACTCTTGTTGAGAAGCAAGTATGTCTTGGACATAGTAGATCAATGTAACTGCTGCTCTAGGTCCTTGGTCAGCTGATTACTGAGGTTCTCTCAACAGAATGAGTTTGACCACACTTACTTGACACATTTTCGAGCTCCTGGACAACTCTGAATCAGGTTGTGAATAGTTGGATGAGAAAATCCAAAAAATTCAGCTCCAGATGGAAGCAGGTTAGGCATTAATTCCCCCCTAAACAGGAGAGGGAGAAATTTAGCTTCAGAGCTTAGAAGGAGATGGAGATAGGTTTGAGAATGGAAAAGTGGTATGAATACACAGGATGATAAAAGATACTCTGGAAACTCTAGTTATTAGGATATCTGAAGGATACAGCAGGTTAGTTTTGTATATTAAAAAGGGATCTCTACACACTGAAAGAAAAGCTCTATAGGGATCTTTTAAAGCTGTTGGTCAACTTACTTAGTAGCACTTATGGTCCTGAGCAGTTCTGCATGACAAGCATCTGCAGAAGAGCCAACAATAGCATTCTGGGGGTCATCTTCAGGAACGATTTCAAACTGAGAATGACAAAGGAACAATTAATCTGTAAGGAGGAAGTAGAGTCATACCTCCTACAAACATTTCTTCACTTGAAGCTGCTGTATCCATACTAGAATATAGGTTTCACACAATTCCCTATAGTGCTGTTAAAAATTCAAACAAGGGATAGGAAAGGTAGCAGAATACAACAATTACTAATTGGGCATTATGTAAAATTGTGGATGTATATCCGACGTGATTCTACAATCTGCATTTGGGGTAAAATTGGGAGTTCATAACCCACTTCAATCTAATGTATGAAATATGATATGTCAAGAGCTTTGTAATTGTTGTGAACA